TCTTTTTTTCCTATTTTTGATGAAGAAAGGAAGAAGACAAATTTTGCTGTTTTTCTTAGTAAAAAATACCCACTGTGCAACGCTTACACCCAACCAATTGATTTGCAGTCATAACTAGGCGATTACAACTGCTGCAGGTTGCCACTACTTTTGCTGCCGTTTGAAGGCGTTTCTTCGCACTGCTCTTCGTGTTTCAATACTTGTGCAACAACAATAATAAACCGGGGCAACGAATGTGCATGCACTTGCATTGCGTTAATTTATTGCCGATCAATGTTGTAGTTTTTTGCCAAAACATAAAATATACAAACGAAATGTCTTCATGCAATGGATTCGGAAGGCAAACAAACGCAGACACGTACATGTTAATCTATGTGAGTGTGTATATATGTATGTATAGTGGCTCCTTGGCCTCCGCCTCCAATTGCAATTTAATGGAAAAAGTTTTTTCATCGAATTTTCTTTTTCCATTTTTCTTTGCTTTGCTCATCACAAAGCAACTTCATTTCATCCATTGCCCACTCGCAACATGCCACATGCAACAACAGGTCAATTTTTATTGAAAAGTAATATGGTAAAGCGTACTCTCGCTCTGCTGCTTGCCACATCGGTTGCGGGTGTTAGCAGCGTACCTTGTTGTTGCAAGTCGAAAATATCGCTTTAAGGGTATTAAGCGTTTGCAAATTGATTGCCTTTAAGTCGTTTGTAGAATGGCTAGTCGGGGTGGGGCGTCAGTGGTGGTATGACTTAAAAGTATTATACACTTCATTTTCCACCCTTTCTTCGCTAACACGCCTTTCTCGGAGACAATTGCAATACTCTTGTTTAAACCGCTAAAACGGAAGCAATGTTATAAATATATGGCGTTATTGCTGTAGGTGTTGCCTCCTTTTGATTAAAATATGCTAGTGATGCCTTAACTCGTCTTGTAAGATCACCGGAGTAATCGGTTCGAAAATGAAACATCGACTGGGCTGTTGTGAGCTATTTTAAAATTAATAAAGTTCCCGAAAGAGTATTCAAATGACAGAAAATCCATTTGAGAATATTGTATTATTATTATTCTCTTCTCTCGTTTAGTGAATATTAATTTTGCTTGGCTTGGCGACAGCTTGTGCCGGCCCACCTCCCTTTAACTTCGACGGTTTCATAAATGAATCGATTTTCTTACAGACATTCGCAGAGATTTTTCGGTCCATGAGATTTTTTTCTCGTTAACTCATGTAACACTCATATATCGAGCTTCTTTGTGAGTCCAGCCTTTTTCCACAGACCATATCTGTTCGTGTTTAATTTTCATTGCCATTCAGCAGGCTGGAGAAGTGTTCCCTCCATAAACTCAATATACTCTGGGCAACAGTCGCTAGATTACCTCTTTGTGTCCGTTAGGAGTCTTGTCCGGTCTTGAAACCTTTTGTAAGTCGTCTTATCTTTTTTGTAGAATTTTCGAACATTACTCTTGTCGGCCAGCTTCTTAAACTCTTCATACTCACGCATTCGGACTTTATCTTTTTTTATAGGCAAATGCGTCTTGCTACCTCCCTCTTCAATTCTCTTTATCTATTCCATATTTGCAAGGTAGGCAACCTGTTTTTTCTCCATGGCGGCAAGGCAATCCTCTCGGTCGGTGTGTGGTATGTAGTTATATTTCTGGGTATGCAGTTAGAGTCGCTGGGCTTCACTCAATTCCTACTCTTGTACAAGTCGCTGTACCCGACCCTGAGTTATTGGGTCACGGCTAAAAGAGAGGAAGCATCAGTGTAACCAATTCGACATATTTCGTTTAAGGAATAAGTGAGGTTTAATTGGTAGCGTCCTTTGTGCGCTCGGTTTGGAATCTGTCACGAAAAAACCATCTCTAATGAAAAGTATAGCAGCGCGACGTATTTAAAACCAATGTTTCCAGAAATTATAAGCCCGATGCCGTTTTAAGGCCAATTCACTATCCTTATCATGGCATCACCAATTTTATACAAAGTTTTAAGATCATTTAAATGACAAATAAACTGATACAAACCAAAACGCCATTTTCTATTGCTGGAGATATTAAAAAGCCAAAATTAATTTCATGATTTACAATATAATTATACAAAAAAAAAAAACAGCAATTGAATCGTCACGCTTGAGATAAGTCGAAAAGTAAATAGTAACCAAGTCTGCTGGCCTACATTGGATACGATCGGTTGCTGTTCGTCTAATAATATTCATGAGCGTGATTTCAGATATATGAGATAGGCCAAAAAAGACCCATTATAATATCACGGAAAACGTGCTCGGAACTTACTGACTCTTTTTCTACCATCTCTCTTATAAACTTTGTTAGACCACTTACTCTAGGCTGTGATTCGTTTCTTCCTCTTCGTCATTCCTACAGACCTTACAGGTCCTACAGTATCTTATGAAAGGGTTGTCCGTCTGGGAAAATCGTTCTTTAAAGCGGCATGCACGTGCATGATGGTATAAAACGGATTATATTGAAGTCGATTCCGAGTTTGAAAGGAGCATATGTACATGTAAGACCACCTTATCTCAGTGCGAGGTTCCCGTTTCTGCTTAATATAAAAATCCAAGAAATCCCAAACTTAGTATTTGTCTGGCTTCTAACTTTTCTGTGAACCGATTACCTTTAAAGGCATTTTGAAATATATCCCTACTCGCATACCATCATGGTCGTATGCTAACAAGTATCGTTTTACCGAAATGACATATCAGTACACACCTCCGAGGCATCAATACTTGCTGACATTATTCAACCGAAATGCGGGGTATCGTTAACTTACCACAATTCCTTTATAACTACATATATATGTATATCTACGAATTCTCCGGTTCAAAATTTTTACAAGTTATTACAAAATTATTGCACTTGCGGGTACAAAACGAGCAGACGCGGCGAACGCTGCTTCAGAAAGCCCAACAAATGTCTCAATGTTTTGTATTGTGTTAATCGATTGCAGTAAATAAACGATTTGTTTTTACCTTGACGATGTTTGTACAATTTGTTTGCTTGCGTTTTTTAATTTAAAAAGAATTATCTGCATGTATCAATCGTTGACTGGTTTCAGGTTTCCATTTTTTTTTCGTATATTTTTTTTCCATTTGCTTGTTTTTAATTATATCGCATCATAAGATTATCTTGTGGCTGTGAATTTATTAGGTCACTCAATCAAGGCGGAAATTTACACTGAGACTTAGTTGGTATGCGTTAGTGCCACTGGATAATGCTCTCTAAGGGAAGATTTTCCGAGGGAGGGGTCATGTAAGTACCCAATCGAGTATTGACAGCAAGATTGATGGATACAAGAGAGAATTTAATTAAGGTGCGACATAACCGGAATGTCAAGAGTTCATGTTGCCGGAACTCAATACCCGATCCCCCACATACCTTAACCTATAGGCAATCGTAAGGAAGAAATTTCCATGAAACGTTTATAGTATGAACAGGGGGGCGAGAGTATACTAGGGGGGAATACAATTATTTTTATATTTTCAATAGATGCGGAACTATCAAACTTCTATAAAAAAAAATAATAAAATTTCTGTTTTTTTATATTATTTTATTTTCTAATTTTGGAGCTCACGTGATGGCGAAATTGCTGAGAAAAATACGGGGATTCACCGAGCTCTGATCTCTTAAAGTAATACAATTTTACGAAAGAGGCTTAAATCCTCCGAGAAATTAATTTAAGACTAGCAAGTGGGGCATGCAGTGTAACAGTGTGATTACCAGCATTCATTGGGTATTACATACCTTGGGACGAACCAGAGCGTGATTTCCAAAATAACTTCGATTGAACGAAGTCGCGAAGTCACTCTTTTCGACCCCTGATTTTAAATACAACGGATCAAGAATTTATGAAAGAATTGGGGAAAATTGATACAGAATTGTTATCGAATTGAAAAGCTAGCTTAGCTCATTTTTTAAAAGCCAGATTGGTATCGAAGGTTTTATTATTAAAGTAGTTTTGAAAAAATGGCTGCAAAAAGTAATCTGATGGTGTTGAGACAGGGTTATGTGGTAGATATAGCACTCGTTCAAAATTCAGCGATTTTATTTTGTAACGTGGTATCAATGACATGTGGAATCTGAAGTTATCTTGATGATGCATCACGCTCAGCTAAGGACGTTTTTTTCTCAATATCGATAGTTGACGAAAGTAGATATTCGAATGAATAAGTTGGCTTTAACTTTTCCTCTGCTTCCACCAGCGGATACTGCATCGAAAACATTCAAAGCTAGAGTTTAGTCGCCCATACGAAGGATATGAGCTAGCCATCGTAGTCGCTGTCTCCTTAGTCGCCAAACTTTGTCAATGTCATCCTGTCTGTCGCACAGCTTAGCGTACCAACGGCTGCGATTTTCACAGTTGACAAGAGTGACTCTGTGTGGATCCTTGAGGTTGATATTATTGGTGGTTTTCCTTGTTCCAAGAAAGACAAACTTATCTACGACATTAAAGTCATGGCTCTCAACAGTGATGTGGGAGTCCACAGGCGTATAACTAGAAGCGAATTGATCTAGTAGTCGTTATCTAGTCTCGAGATTTGGTTTTTAAGACCTACCAAGCGTACAACTGCCGCTTTTACCTGTACGATTGTACCTTGTTTATTTTGCTAAGCAGCTCGTATTTTAATCCCCAGTATTAAATTAAGGAATTCATATGACAAAAAGAGTCGTCTTGGCTGAAACCTCGTTTAGTATCAAGCGGCTCGGAAAAGTCCTTCCTCACGGAGCTTTTTGGAGTAGCTCAGCATCAGTTTAAACAGCCGTATAAGTTTTGCGGGGGTACAAAATGCAGATATAACGGTAACGAATAAAACAACAATGCCTCTAATTAAGGAATTTATCCAAATGTAGACTAAATGCTTTTCCTAGAAGTAAAAAATAATTTTGATCAGCGAAAAAACTAAAATTCAAACAAATGAAACTAGGAGACTTTGCACGGCCTCCTACTAGACCTTTTCATGCATTCTTTGGGTTACTTTTATAAAAAGTTAGCTGTACTTCATCCCTTAATATTTTCCTACTAATAAATTTCCTCGCACTTTACATGACGTAATATACACTGAGAGCTTTTCCTCTTCAAGCGCAGACAGCCTTTAATGGCTTTCACAAAGAAAAGCTTCAAAGCGAATATTTACACAAAACAAAATTAAGAAGAAGAGATAAACAAAGATAGAAATCACAACAAGGAAAATAAATATAAACAAACACTTGAAGAAATTCAAGAAGAAGAATGCTTGAAAGCACGCAGGATAGCTTTTTAAACAACACAAAAATCTCAACGCGCATGTCAGCAACAACAAAATACTTCAGCGAATGTCAAATAAAGTGGGAATTGTCAAGTGTTGGAATTTAGCGAAATAAAATTACGCAAACAACACGTTGCTTCGGGCTTCGGGCTTCTGGCTTTGTATTTTTGAAAGCGGAGGCGGCGAAGGGCAGTTGCAAGCGATTGGGTTGGTTTCATTGAGAAAAGCTACAGTCGCGCAACGAAAGCAAAAGTTTACATTCCGCACACAATACACATAGAAGCGGGCAGAAGAAGAATGCATAAAAGAATAACACTGAAAGTTCTAATGGCGCTGACTTTGGTGACAAATTCACACAACCACTGTTAATATTCGTCATACATTCTTGCTGGATTAAACTCGAGTACAGGCAGAGCCACAACACAGTAGTTGTCTTTAAACGTGGGCGGGCGCACAACACACACCGAGCGATAAGACGCTAAACAAAAGAAAGCAAATTAACGAAGAAAGTGTTTGGCATAGCCTTGCAACGACAGCAATTAATTAAGTGCAACGCGGACACAAAGACAGGCCAACCAGCTTCAGTGAACGGTCAAAGCATTAGTTAACCACAAGTGCAAAGCGGTGCAGACAGTGAAAGCAGTGGAAGGGGCAGTGCGACGGTCTCGTCGCTAAATAAAAAGACACTTCTATCGATTTAATACAAAAAGTGGCGGCATAGCGCAGCTTGTGCGGGGCATATGAGTAATTAGAGGCAGCCGAAGCAGCGCCACATCACTGAAGATTCCAATGTACGCCGTTGCAGCGGTTGTCGACAGCAATTCAACAACAACAAACGACTGTAATTGTGCAAAAATCAATTATAATTGAGTAAACCAATTTCTAGACTTTGCAACGCCAACAAGGATACGTGAAAAAAATATCAAATAATTTTTTTGAATTGTGTGGTGTGTGAGTTTCTCTCGATTTACGCATAATCAATTAAGATGTTGCTGCCACAAAAGTCACCTGCTGCTCATTGGCGGTCCTTTGTGGATTTATTAATGGCGCCTGTATCACCAAAAAATCTACGCCTGTCCGCCATTTTAATTGGCATTTACCAGTTGGTGAGTATTTACGGCAAGAAATTCTAAGAAAACTTCACTATATTATGATTCATTTAATATTTCTGCTTGAACGCCTGTAAATATGCTAGCGACCACAATGCTTTAATCATGATATTATGTGTGTATGTGCGCTTATGTGCGATGGCACTCCCATGTAATTTGATCGCAGGTTTACCAATACAATTTGCCACACAACAAAACTTTAACTCAAGTTGACTCAGTCAAATGGGTCTAATTGCAAGTAAAACGCACACACTACATAAATATTTATAATATTTATGTCTATCTTCTCATACTGCTCGTACAGGCGCGTACATTATTATACATATATGTACAAGTATGTACATATATAATTTGTTTTTGTCCATTACTTACCATGTCTTGATGAATTTCCGAGCGGTCAGCAAGGCTTCTACAATTTAACTTAGAAAATCGATTGCTCGTTTACTAATGACATACATAGTTGACTGGATTAAGTAATACGAATGCTTGTTGCTTTGTTTGCCACATGAAGAGTCTTACAATAATTCATTCAAAGTTATTAAATTTTTTATTCTTTTTTTTCACATTTCACTATAACGAAGATAGCTCCCAACTGACACTGTTTTTCCATCATAACTTCTTTAAGGTGAAGTGATAACCACTAGAGAGAAGAGAAAACAAGTAAGCTTATTTACGAGTGACTCAAGACTTCACAAATAAGTTAGTGGTACTCTTTTGTCGAGAACTATTCCACATCACAAGAGTTAGGGCTCCATACAATTGCCTTGCTTCTCAGGAAGTGGTTGCTTTTATTAGGGAGACAGTGAAATATTTGCTGAGATTCTAGGTCAAAGAGCTACCGAAGGTCAGAAAATCTCTTTGTTTGCAATATTCAAAACTCCCACGACATGCCATAGTCCGATTGCTGGGCTTGAGTTTTTATCAGGTCCCAAAGATGTCTAAAAGAGAAGACAGAGTCATCTTTGTACTTTATTTCAACATTTGTTGCCTTTTAGAAGCTTATAATGAAAGTTCTCGAAACGAAAGTGTATTGTAAACTAGATACTGCAAACGAGTCTAACCTAACCTAGAGGACCGTAACTGCTCTTTCCCAGCAATTCATTGGATTTTCAAACACCACTCTCTCCGCAATATGCCAAAACTTCCACTTTCCCGATTTAAGTTAGACTCGCTTACTTTTCCATCCTACATTAATTCGCTAAGTTAAGAGTAGATACGATGTTCTCTTAGGAATTGTTCTATAGATCAGTAAGGATTCTCGACATGCAGTCGGCGTATCAAATTCGGGTTAGATATGTAACTTTGACTACTAAACTTTCGGGCACAGTCTAAAGTGATCTAATATTTTACATAACTATTCACAAAAAGGTTTAGTATTAGAACGGCATGCTGCGAACTCAGTATATCCATGTTCTGACACCAGAATCTCTCTATCTGTTCATTCAGACTAAGCTGCTACGAAAGCTCTTGGTCCAAAATTATTTGGAAAGGCTTGCGCTTTTAATAATAGACCGTCAATTTTTATTTTTTTGTATTTGAAAATATTATACTACAGCAACAAATGTTAAGCAGATGATAATCCAAGTCGATCCGTGATAAGAACCCGATTATCGTAAGAACTCTTGAAATTCAATGAGTTCATTCATTGATTTCTTTGACGATAAGCCAAAAATATAATTATGCTTCCGGAAACCTCAAAATCTTTCTTTCCGCTCTATGATCCTAAAGCAGTTTTATAAGGAAGCGAATTGAAATATTATACATACATGTGCCAGCGGATCTGGGGAACTTTGCTCCTCTCAATTCAAAATCGACCGATGTTAGGTTCACTACTCAAAAAGAAATTAATTTCAAGAAAATTGAACAATAAATAATATTTTTATGAATCACTTCCTGTATGTTAATCTGACCGTTAAACGAACAATCCACAACCAAGTTCCAGGTGATTTGAATCATAAATAAGATTTTCTCGTATAAATCGGACTTTCATTTTCAGGAACAAAGATATTTTTGCTTTCGTAGAAGTTTTTTACTATTAAATAAAAAAGATAGAAACAAATTTAGCTAAATCGCACCAGCCGCACGCTATGAAGTTAGTTGATGATGTAATGTACAAAAATCCGTAAAAACGGTACCGCCGTTTCGGAAGAATTTGGTTACAAACAAGATGACACAAGAATTTTATAAACTCCCATTAGATAATATCCTTTAAGTATTTATATTATATTTATAGAGCCATTTGTTTATTTATTCACTGGCAACTTCTACTTATTTTCAATCCTCTATGAAAACTTCCAGCTCGTAGCACATTTACTACTCTTCCTCGTACTCTTGGGTCTAGCCCACGCCGAGCAAATGAAAACTATGCTGGCTATGGATATTGAGGATCAAAAGGATAATGGTTTTTACGATATGTCGCCTTTTCGTAATCAATTGCGCCTGCGCACCGCCTCGCAATTGGTGTCCGTTACCGAGATGTTACTCTACATACTGACCGCAGTAGCTTCGGTTTATCTGCTCAGTACGATTGCTTTGTTTGCGGGCATATTTAAGAATCGCTCAGAATTTGTACTACCCTGGTTGGTTGTGGAATTCATCTTTATTGTATCGGCGACGGTTTTGGTTTTTTGGTTGCAGAATGAGAAATTCGTGGATATTATTGGCGGTAAAGTGTACTACTGTGAGTAATGGAATTTCTTTATATAACGATTATTTTTAATGAATTTTTTATCTATAAATTTTAGTTATGATATGCTTCACGGTGCTCTCGTTCGATTGTCTGATGTGGTATATTATACATTCATTCTATCAGCGACTACGTACTATGAATAAGTTGCGTGAGATTGCTACAGTTGCAATACCCTGTCCGCCCCCAGGATCGGTGAGTATAATCATATAATTTTTGTATTACCTCAAAGTAATACCAAAATTCTTCATATTTCGTTTGAGAACACAAAAAAGGAAAAAATATGGCTTTGAAGTGGAATCAAGTGGAATTCAAGAGCCCAGAATACCCAACTACTTCTTACCTTTTCAAACAAGAATAGCTCAGAAAATAATTTAAATAAAATATTAAGTTACGTTTTCTAAATGCGATCGCCCTTCGGCAGGGAATGACATGAAACAAAGGCTCCTCGTAATAAACTAGCAGCCCAAAACCAAAATTTGGAGGAGGAGCTCGGCCGAAAATCGCTTCAGCGGTTACAAAGGGCTAATTATATATATATATATATATGTTCTTAAGTAGGCAAAGAGGAGTCCGTAACTTTATTGCCATACCAAATTGATAATGACGGACCGTATGCACATCTAGCATACGGAAAGCATATCTTCAATCTACCACAGCTTGATTAATTATTATGGCTTCGGGGAAGTCGTTCAACCTCAGTCCTTATTTCGTCATAGAGGCTAAATTTTCCAACTGATACGCCAGAGATACCTCGTTAGGTGTGGTCAAGACATTCATAAAAGATGTCTTTGGACACATCCTGCTGATTTTCCGTTGTGTTGCGGGAGCAAATCTCACTTTATTCCAGATTGTGATAAAATGTTCTCTCATCGGATTGAACGATAACGTTCTGGGACTCATCTGCGAATTAATGGTTCAAGAATTGGCTTGCGATAAGACACACCTTTTGTAGAGGCGACGAAAATCGAATAGTTCACGCGACATATGAATCTTTACACCGGAACGATCCAAAAAATATTCCCTAAAAAACAACTGAGTATCTCTTCTACCATAAATAGATATATAACAAGGATCGAACCTCTTAATTTTAACGAAAACATCAACCTTCCCAATTAAAGGAAAGCACATCTATTGTACTTACATATGGTCTATTAACAGCATTTCCCACAGGTGTTACTTGCTTTTCCAAAGTGAAAAAACGCGATTTGGCTATAAACGCCATTCAGCGAGGGCCTGCCAACACCTTCGTATACTCTCAACCAGTAAATGGCGTTCTCGGAATCCAATCGCCACCCATAGCAGGCGAAGATCTCGATCTGCCTCGGGATCGCACGAGCACGATAAAATTTCGGGTATTGTAGTCTACTTAATTTCTACTTATTCCGACTTCAGCCAGACATATCCCACCGTATGTTCTGCTTCAAAGGCGACTTTAAACACCTCTTTGCATCCTTATCTCACCAGCGAACTACAAATTGGTGGAGCAAATTGCAAATCGTTTAGCACAGCTTTGGCCGAGATTGCGTTAAACAATAATCGTGTCATCACTTTCGAATTCGGCATTCTCCGAACTTTGCATTGATGACTCTTCGGCCCATCGGAGCATCGGTAAGGGTCTCTCAGATGGGTCTAGAAGACATTGTCATGTTTCGTGCCATCCTTTAGCGTAATCTATCCGTCGGTTGCGGTCAAGTGTCAAATTGTGTCTGCTTTATTCGTACATACCGCCCTAATACTGCTGTCGTCTATGGTAGCGATGAAGTCTTAACCAATTGGCAAAGGCAATGTTGCCAAATAGTCCAGTCACTCAAGGATCAAGTACTGTTGATCGACGCCGGTATCACTCTCTACAAGTGTCTTAATCCCGCAACTGAGTTCGCAAAGAGTGGTGTACATGCACGTGTTCTGAATGCACTTTTGGATGTTCAGCATATTTCTGAGAATGGCAAAGGGGTGAGGCTGTTCTGAGCGCTAAACAACGCGAGTTTGGTGCTAAGTATCTGTATAATCAGGATCCAACAAATGAAAATCTTATGAATTAACTTATTTATGTGTCTTTTGGACGAAGAACGTTCCACTATTCTTTCTGTATTGGTTTCAATTGATGTTAAAAAATAAAAATTTCTTTTAATAGTAATCCACTCAAAAATTTTATTTCTCTGCTCTTCTCTTTTAGATACCCTTCCACTTTAGACGCGAGAATATGTATCTTGGCAGTAACGGTTACAAACACATACTCTCAGAGTCACCCGATGGAAATTATTAAAAGTAAAAACATTAGTAAATACATACATATATACAATTCACGCTTGCAACTGGCACGAAGCGTACACACACTTAAATTAAAAGTAAATAAGAATATTAAACACGAAACCTACAGCACTTAATGCTATTGAAAATCCCGTGATTCCTGCAGCATTGGCAAATCGTTTGCAACACGCTTTATGGCATTTGTACCAGCAACACGATAAAGTACCAAAAAAAAAGCAGAAAATAAATAAATAAAAATTAGAAAAATACATGCAATATAATGGGCCTTATTATGTATTACTGTTAAATTATTATGTATTTTTATTGCTAATATTGAAACACCATAAGCATTATTTGTGATATTTTGCTTTGAGCTTCGAAAAAATATCTATTTATGTTTTATTTTGAATTTTTTTTTTTGTTATTTTCTTAAGAGTTTTCTTATTGGGAAAAAAGTAAATAACATTAATTTTTTTTTAACAAAAACTTTCGGTATTTGATATTTTTTTTTGTATTTTCACTGCAGTACCACAAGTGCGGTATGTCTAATCACACTTACCTAGATAAGCTATCTTATAAATTAGTACTATCTCTGCACATACATACGTACATAAGTATGTATATGAATAAAGAATTGTAGTAAAAATGAAAATAAGTATGGATTATTGCACCCAAATGCAATACATACATACATACATACATGTATGATTTTAAACAGTCAAAATTTGTATAGAATGCAATTAAAAATAAATTATTTGAATAATGAAGAGAGTTATGTGAGACTAAGTGGTACAGCAGCATACAAAAAAAATGTTTTATTGTAAAAGAAAATTAAAAAAAAAAAACATATATATACGAATATGTAAAAATATGTAAACATACCGATATTAGCTAAAATGCATGTAAATGCTTAATTATTGCTAGATATTTTATTCAATTAAATTCAATAAAGTTATCAAAATGTGATACAAACGTTATGAGGCAATGTGTTATTGAAATGGGTAATGAAATGGGGATGTGGTTCTATGGCAGAGGCAGTCGGTAATCTGAAAACGAAGATAAATCAAAGTAGTAAAGTCTATTTCTGTCAAAAGAATAACGAGAATTCACTATTCAATGCAGTTGTCTGGTAACTTGGTTTGGAAAAGTAGACTTTTTGAAAGTACTATGTGTTTAGAATATACCGTAAAAATTTTAGAACGAAATTCGAGTTATAGCACCGAAGTTATAGCACCTATATATGAACTTCTCATGGTAGTACGCCCTGAGCCGTTTTCCATTTTACAGTTATCCTAAAGCAACCAAACCACCGTGGCCAGCCACTACCTTTTTTTTTTAGACGCCCACTTCAGTGCTACGAAGCAACAAAGTTCAAAATAAAATATTTTCAAAAAAAAAAAACATTAAAAATAATGCTAGTTACCAGACTACTACCTTAAAAAGCCCGCTTAGAGGGATTGTGAAAATATCTATACCGCAGCGTCTCGCAGAAAATGTTACAACAGGCTTACAATGAATCAAAAACCACGTAAATATATATGAGTAGTACAATGTATTCCAAGGCGGTCAAAATGTGATAAAAACAAGGGAATGCCTGACTACGTGATTGCCATTTAGCCTTATATCACAGCAGCGCTGTACAATACGAGGCCGGCAGACCTTAAAGCCATTCACAGTGAGTCGGTCATCACCTTATTCCAAACATCATCATCAATAGCAGACGAAGAGCTCGAATTATCTCACGTGAACCGAGTAATATATAATTTGCACTTTTCAAGGTTTATAGACTGCAAGGTAACGACAATCGTTGACGTCACCGAACCAACTTCGTCATATACACAGTGGGCGAGATTTGATGTGATCCTAATAAAATAAATATATAATTAATTTTTTGGTAACGCCATCGCAATCACAGATTTAGTGTGCAAGGTGCAAGACATAGCCTGTTTTTATTAAACCATAGACCAGGTGTCCGTAGACCACCAAATCTGAATAAGAAAGAGTCTTACGAGGTACACCCGCTGTAACGTTAATACCTAAGTGCCAGTTAAAAAAAAAAATATTTCCTTCTAATATATGTACTTTTATTATATTTATATTTAACTATCCGATGAATTCATGTTTTCTTGATACTAAAATTCCAAGGTTCCAAACTATATCGCATCATTGTTTTAATTCTTCAGAAAATATTAATATGAATCACTCACACAAGTTTCTTTTTTCAAATTTTTGTCAACAATAACCCGCCGCTTCAAATTTTTGGCCACGATTTTTTCACACATTTCCCAGCAACTTTTTTGCAGATAGATTGAATGTATTTTTTATGTTAAATATTTTATAATAATAAGCGTTAGCTTTAAATTTTTATAACTTTTAACGGATTTTCGTATTACATAACACCAAAAGTTAGAGTTGCTAGCTATACAAATTTTAGTAAAAAAAAATAATTTAAATACAATTTTCTTTAAATATAAATTATATTTGCTCGACATAAAATTATGCAGGACGTTTTATTTGGGATTGTTATTATTTTGGAAAAAATCTATATACAAAGCTTTATTATTCTATAGTTAAAAGTTTACGTTATTTTACAGATAAAATTATGCAAATTTATTTTAAAATCTTCGGCAACCCACTAAATTGAACCAACTTCGTCCTTGAACATATGATTTCGCTCTTGTCGTAACCATCTATTACCCCTGAAGTGACTTAAGCAGCCGCCAAAATTCAAACTACTATTTCAAGGCTCCCGCTCTCAGTCAGTAGAAGAGATAAAAGAAAATTCGCGTCGAATGCATGATTCTAGAAAATGCGTTTAAAAATGTACTTGACAGTTCCTACTGAGGAGCGATCGCAATTAGAAAATTCAACATAATTTGTTATTTAAATTAATTTTACATAAGTTTTTGGATGTTAGTTCGACAGCATGATTTGAACCCGGACCTTACTAATGGCAGTAAGCAATGCTAACCACTCGGCTACCGCTTCCGGAAAATTATAGGGAAAACCGAACAACGACCGGCTCTCATTTACTCAAAAAAAAACTCAATATGTCATATTGATTGGATTTAATAGTAAGAAAAAATAAAAAAAATCTTCGCTCTTGGCTTAAGCCTTTTCACAATGGCATAACAGCTGCCATTGAACCAGAGCTAACTTCATGTATTAACTGCACATTTTCTCATCTCTTCGAGCCTATGCAAACCAATAAATTTTTTTATCCGAATGAAAAATTTCCATATTTATTCCAAAATACTTATGTATTACATAATATAGTATATTTTTACTATAATTATCTAATTTTGCGTAAAAATATGCACAAATTTTTTTAACCAAAAAGAGATTAATTAATTATAATAATTATTATAAGTTCTCTGCTGCATCACATCATCACTTGGCCAAATATAAATTGCATGCTATAATTTTTAGTATAATTTCTTCTTCTTCTTTTATTATAGATTTTCTGCTCACACTCAATATGTCGCTCTCTCTAGCATGCGCACAGCTTAGCTACGCTGCTTATATAGCAACATTGTACACCAATTGACAAATGGTTCCATGGTGTAATGGTTAGCACTCTGGACTCTGAATCCAGCGATCCGAGTTCAAATCTCGGTGGAACCTAAGATTTATATTTTTTTTTGTTTATTTTTTTCAATTATTTTATTTTATACTTTAAATTCTAAAACATTTCATAAGATAATAATTTATATATATAAAAATCTTGCTTTTGATATTTTTCGAAGTATGAAAAAATCGCTTAATTTCTGCCCTTTCTACCGCGTGCCGGCGCTTTAGTGGTTGTAATTTTCGGTTTTGGTGTAGTAGTAGTAGTAGTAGTGGTAGTAGTCGACTCTATCTCGGCGCTATCCATCAACATGTCATTGGCAAATTCCGCCACAGAAATATTCATACGTTTGCCAGAGTCGGTGGGTATGCTGATTTGGAACTGTAGCAAGACAACAAGATAAGTGACCATTGTGGTCAGCAGCTAGAAGAGGAATTGGTTGAAAAAGAAAATACACATTTTCAGTGGCTTTGCGATTTTTTATTGTTTTTTTTTTTTTAGTTATGAAGCATTATATTTTTTCATACACTCCGAAAATTCTCAACTCACCCCCTTGAAAAGATTTCGATTTACATCAAAAAATCCACCACAATTTATATTCGAGGGATTCATTTCCGTGGCACGTATAAACATATTAATCTCCGTCTGTGCATCCGAGTTCATCCAATTCAATTCGACCATCAAGAGTTTTTTCTGAAAATTCGTACGCACATTGAAGGAGGCATAATGTGCCTTATCACAAATGTAAAATAGAAGAAACACATTCCAAATTGCGGTTATGGCCAAACCAATATCCTTAATGCCAAAACCCTCAGAGAGTTGTGACATCAGACCATAAACGGAAAGTGTAATAACGAAGAATAGATATAAATTGATAAAAGTAAAGGTGTAACAGGTGGCATTGCCGGTATCCCGTGTCAATTTACTCAAACGTAACCACAAGGCACGGTAATCGGCGACCATGGCAGCGGGACCGATGTGACGAAGAGCCTGACGCAATATTAAATATGAAATGCAAAATTAGGAAATGATTTAAGACATTTTTCGGTACCCTTTGAAAACGCTCGCCCAATATATTGGCCGTCATGCTAAGGCATTCACAGATTATAAACCACCAAGCACCCAACATGGCTGTCAAATTATCTAAGATGCAGTAGGGAATTACCTGAAAATGTGCATAGAAAGTAAGTAATAAAAATATTCTTCTAACAGCTTTAATAAATTTTTGAAGCAAAGTCTTCTCTGAGAAACCAACCCGAGTATGTTTAGTAATTTTTCTGTGATTTGTAGATATATAAGTCATTTAATATTAAGAAACTTCCAACTTTGGCTACTGTAGACTGTAATTTTTTACAGCCAATTTCGAAAAGAACAAGCAACTCGCTCATTTCAGTTGCCATATTCTTCATATTCGCTTTACAACACTGCTGATTTTCTTATAATTGCACAAGCTCGAGCATTTTGAACAGGAGTCAGTCGTCTCGAGCATATCTGTGTAACGAAGTGACTTCACATAATCCGAGGGTTTTAAATCACACGATCTTGGAGGCCCTAGACGTGAGATAATACACGACCAAAAATTTCCTTCGACAAATTGATTGTTTCATTGGACGTATGGCGTGTAGCGCCGTCTTGTTGGAATCATAGGTCATCCAAATCAACATCTTCCAACTCAGGAACGAAATAGTCATTAATCTCGGCTCTATTGCATTACCTATTGCCTGGAGGTCAGCTTCGTTTTTGAAGAATATGAGCCAATGATTCCCTTTGTTTCGTGAACCAATATTTTGGTAATAAATTTGCCCAATTGACAAACGAGAGTTAGATTGTCCATCATGACTGAGTGTGAATCAAGTAACAGTTGCTAAAAAGTCACCCTTTATTACCACAAGCAAACTTTTTTATATTATATCTCGACAGCTAACAGCAGTGTTGTATAGTAAATACAAATACAAATTATTAGCCCGTTAAAAATAAGCCAGCTGGGCGTTCTTTTGTAGCAAAATATTATAACTTATTCATATATGTATGTATAGCAATCACAAAACTTACTTGAAGTAGTTGAAAATCCGCCATTGTAATGTGCGTAATGACAACCGATAAAATGGATAATAAGGGCAAAATAACAGCTATCAAAGTGGTTTTACGGCGTATATTCAACGGTATGCTATGACCCGATATTTGATAATATAAAATCTAGAAGAAAATATAGAATAAAAATTCACTCAAAATTAAAATATCTAAATTACCTCAAAATCATCCCAATCATTCCATAAACGCGCAATTTTACGCGCCTCCCACCACAGTAATGGAATTAAAAGTAACGGTAAAATATTGACAAGAAATAGATAGGCAATAACCGCCTCCTCGAAGGGTCCACTTAACGATGTCACTATACTTATACGATTTTTAGCCACATAAGCCACGAATACCTGAGTGGAGCAAGAACACTATGGTATATGCAGATATAAAATTATAAATTTTACTATTTCTTACCGATAAAAGTATGAAGAATACCAACGAATAACCAAAAGCGACAGAATTTATACGAAATTTTGCCTTTCCTGACTCTCGCCTTGTTATGGGTAAAACTCCGATCAAATGCAAAAACCATTGAATTGGCGCAATATTGTTGTAGAAAATATTCTAGAATGAGGTTGGTCACATTAGTTTTTAGGAATTTTAAAAAATTTTTTCAAAAGTTCCAATTCATAGTTTTAGGTTATATTCTTAAGCTTCGCTATGATTGGTTCTTATTAATTCGCCATAGAAACCATTGAAGCAGAATGGGAAAATGAGAAGTAGATTACTAGAGAGGGTAGTTCTACGAGTACCTATCAATCCGATCTGACCAGTTCAGTCAAATGATCGCTTAAATGTAAATATACTTTTGTGTACTAAGTTTGGTTGAAATTTCTCAAAAACTGAGGGGCAAGGTTGCGTTCACACCGACGGCCAGGCTCGGCTCGTCATTCTAATTATATTAGTATAAATATTGATGGAATCAATCTCTGCTTCTTTTGGTACTCCGTTTATACTTGGGACCAAAGTTGTATAACATTTTATGTACAGAAAAAGTATAAATACTGACAAATTGGTAGAAATCATTAAACACGAACATTTTTTTTTTTTTTTGTATACCGATCCAGCTAGAAAAAACTTGGATGGGCTTTTGTTAATTCATGAAGTAATAAAAGGATTTTTTCAAACGATTCCGAAACTTGAATCCTTTCAAAGCGTCATTATATTTTCTAGGTCTTCTTTCATATCTATATCAATGTTAGGGTTGGTTGTTAACCCAGTTTTTTTTGGTGAAAGATGTAAAGGTTTCCATTTTCCAAGGATTCCAATTGCACCGTGGAGATCAATATTGCATTATAAGTATATATACTTGTGTGACATGTTCCCATAATTATTTTCAAGAAACTATCCAAAGCTTTAAATTTTTGAAAATTTAGATGTGAAATCGCACTTTCTTGGTGTGAATTGGTTATTTTAAATCCACTTACAGCTCGAAAATTTTCATTTAACGTGGTTATAGTGCCGACTGACGCTCTACTTGCATTACTACTGTTCGGATTGTAAAACGGATTCTCCTCTTTATCAAGCAAACCTGTCGAATACTTCCGCAAACCGCCACCTTGACTGTTAAAAGTCGGTTTCACGTTTAAAAAAACCGTATCATGTTTCTTGCGGCGATTGTAACTGTTAAACATTTTTCGAAATTAAATTAATTTAATTTTTTTTTTTCTAAATATAGAGACCAAAAACACTCAGAAAAGCTGGAACCGTTTCGAGTAATCGCCAAAATCGTACTATGCCCTTGCTCAATATTGTCTTACATTTAAAAACCTCACTAACAACTAAAAGAGGCGGCCGGTCAAGTGTAAACATTAAAAATGTATTATTTGCTTTTTATACTTTTATTTACATTAAGCGCATTAAATGTCAACAAAGGATGTGCTTCTTCAGCCTGTTAGCAGAGGTGAGGGTGCCAGGGGGACAGACGTCGCATAAAGAACTTTGAAAATTTCTTGGCATGCAAACTTGACCTTAACCCAGAATTACAGACTTATGGTCACAGTGTGGTGTATGATATTATTAGTGCGTGTGTGCGTGCGCGTGTGCACATGCATTTACATAAGTGTGTGTGTCTGAGTTGGAACTTGATTTGAGCTAGACGTAGAGCTATTTGTTAGATAAATGTTATAAATTAAAGTCAATCATAACAATGCGAGCTATGCGGGAACGAGTGTTTTTGGGAGTGTGTAGGTTCTTTGCCTGGGATCCATCCCTACTCCCTAGCGCTCATAACGATTTTTAAAACTTTGTCTTAAGCTTGCATATTTGATCATCTTTTCTTTTATCATCTTTTTTTCGCGAGTGACTAAAAGTAGTGCTCAGATTCATATTGTATGGGTCTTTTGCAAGATTTGGTGGCCAATGATATAAGAAATTGCACCGATAAGGTTGTTTTGGTTTTGTGTTAAAATGACGTTATATCGGCAAGGCCTTCTAATGAGAGAGAGAGAGAGAGAGAGAGAGAGAGCTCATTGCATGGAGAGAGAGAGAGAGAGAGAGAGAGCTCATTGCATGGAGGGCATACTCTATGTATGCTGGAGTCGAGATCTAAATGTTAATGAGTTAGGTCTGCTATAGTATTATATATATATTAATTTAGAAAGGTGATACTCGGTTAGCTGATGCCGAGTATTTGTCTTTCATATAACAAGAAATATGAGTTTGAGATTCCAAGTTGTTAACCCTTTGAACAAGGGAAAAGTTCGTGATAGCCAACTAAAGGAATATTTTCTGTGCAAGAAAGATCATCCTTGTAGATATACAAACTTTTTTCATTAACTTTCACCCTAGATCACCCTGCGAATATCAGCTAAAATAGTTAAATTCTTCGTTTTCGAAACGCCCTGTTTACAACGTCAGTGTTTATTTTCTTTACGACTCACATTCAAAATTTTAGCATAAACGTCAAAGGAAAATTCTAGCAAATTCAGCGGTTTATCAAGAAGAAAAAATAAAGATTTGTTGGGAAAACATTATTCTCTTGATTTTAACAAAAGAAATATTTAAATAAATCAAAAATAGCTTAAAAATGGTTGACTATAGCAAATGGAAAAACATTGAGGTAAGAGAACAGCAGAGAAAAAGCCCTTAATAATAATTAAACATCGCTCAACCAATTTGTCATACATCTGGATTAGATTTCAGATGATGAGGATGACACACATCCCAACATCGACACTCCATCGTTATTCCGTTGGCGTCATCAGGCGCGAGTCGAACGCATGGCCGAGATGGAACGAGAAAAGGAGGAATTCAAAAAGAAAAAGCAATCGTATCAGGCACGTCTGATGGATGTAAAGGAACGAATACAAAAGAAGGATGGTGACGAAGCCCAACTTAAGGTAAACATAAAGAGGAAAATAATTTGCATGATTTTTATAATAGTTGTCACCTGTAGAAAGAGTTGGAAAAAATTGAAAAGGAGGGAAAAGATCTTGATCGGCAAGAAGAGGATCTCGTGAAGAAAGAAAGGAAAGCACCTTGGAACGTGGACACAATAAGCAAACCAGGTTTCGAAAAAACCGTGCTGAATAAAAAAGCAGCTAGAAAACCTGATGAGAATTTATCGGAGGAGGAAAAAGAAGCACGAATGAAGAAATTTGTTAAAGAAAATGAAAAGTTATGCAAACAATATGGTATGCTACGCAAGTACGATGATTCCAAACGCTTCCTGCAAGAACATCTCGATCTTGTCTGCGAAGAGACTGCAAATTACTTAGTAATTTGGTCCATCAATCTGGAAATGGAAGAAAAACACGAACTAATGGCGCATGTGGCGCATCAATGCATTTGCATGCAGTATATATTGGAGCTTGCTAAGCAATTAGATGTAGATCCACGTGCCTGTGTCAGTTCTTTCTTCTCAAAAATACAAAACTGTGTGCCAGAATATAAAGAACAATTCGAAAGCGAAATTAAAGGTTTCAAGGAACGTATTACAAAGCGAGCACAGGAGAAAATTAAGGAAGCGTTAGCTGAAGCAGAGGAAGAGGAAAAAGCAGCACGTTTGGGACCTGGCGGGCTGGATCCTGCTGAAGTGTTCGAGACACTGCCAGAGGTAAGTTCACGTAATTATTGACTTCTTTCAATTAGTTATTTATTACGCTCGTTTCTTGCAGAGCCTGCAAAAGTGTTTTGAATCGCGAGACATTGAATTGCTGCAAAAAACTATTGCCGAAATGCCTGTTGATGAAGCCAAATTCCACATGAAGCGGTGTGTAGACTCTGGTCTCTGGGTGCCAAATGCAGGAGATGTCGATCTTGGTACCGAAGAGGAACAGAAAAATACTGAAGCAGAAACAGATACAAAGCAATCAAAAAGCGCAAAAAGTGACTCAGACGTAGGAAAAGAAGACAAAAAGTCAGAAGAACCAATCTATACTGGCGTTACTACCGATGATTTGGATTGATTGTGCATAAATTAACACATTTGTAAAAGGAAAAAAATATAAATATATAGAGCACTTTTTATATAAAAGTGCATGAGAGTTAGATAATTTAAAAGGGAAGTTGTATAGGATTATTAACATTTGCAAGAAAAAATGATAAGAATGCAAATGTTTAAGAAAAGTTGCTAAAATCACACTCAAGCAAACGCATGTATAACAGGTACAATGATTTTAAGCGATTTTCCATAATAATTGTTGCTATTGAATTCTAAGCGATTCGATAAGCATAAATAGCTAAAGTGTGAAACAGTGTTATGATATTATTAAATACATACATATATATACATATATACGTACATACTTGTTAAAGCCATTACCAAGGTAAAAGGAAAATCGACTGTCTACTGCAAAATTTCGTTTTCCATACAAGGCTTAACTTCATTTCGAGTATTCATCTACATTAATTATTACTTTGTAATTATTTGTAAAATAAAAACTTTGAATATAAATCAATTATACATCTTTGTACGTAAATAGCTTTAAGTTTGTTTAATAATCGCTCTCAATAAAATTAAAGTCATCCTTTGACAAGGTTTTTTTTGTAATTTTATTGGGATGGAAAATATGATTTTCTTGAACGAAATGGGTACTATGTACCTGACATACCTCAACCGCTACAATCCGGTGTTTTAAGATTTTTTTTATCTTCACGCTGGGTTCGAGCTCGGATCGCTAGGTGGCACCCATATTCCTGGATCCATATTAGTTCGAATTTACGTAAAAATAATCGATTCTTGAATCCGACTACAATGTAAATTCGAAACTTATTCTAACAGCAGGCTTAATTAATTAAATGGAATTTAGATTCTACTTTGAGAAATGTTTTTCCGGCTACTACAGCAACAACAGAGTATCTTTAAATTTTCCAAACAACTATAAATATTACCTAACCATTTATGAACTTGACCCAAATAAAACTGCGTTTAAATATTATTTGTTTAATAAATTTTCAATTATTTTGAAAAACTAAGCTAATCTAAATATTTATTTATTACGCAATTAATAGTTTATTTTTTTTTTGTTGTTTTTGTATTTATTAATGATTTTTCAGTTTACGAGTTATATATCTGCAATTTTATTTATTATGTTATAAATAATTTTTGAATTACATTTAAAATGCGCGCTACCTTCAAACGCATGGCGCGTTAGCGTAGAGTTAATTCGGTTATATGTGGTAATTCCACTGCTACTAGAGCTTATCTATGTTACATACAAACATGTTATATATGTTTGTATGTATCGTGATACATTTTTGTGTTTGTTAATATGTATTAACGTGTGTTGCATACTATTTAGCTTTAATTCTGCCATCGTTCGATTTATTTTCACAAATATCAATATGTATATATAGGTATATCAAGTGTTTAACGAAATTTTAAATATGTATATATAATTCTAATTTTATTTGGATTAATAATAATTTGTATTATCTATTACTGTTTAATTTTTCACTATTTATTTATGTTTTTTATTTTATTTATTTATTTATTTTTTTTTTTTTGGTTACAATTTAAATATTATAATTATAATTATTTCCTTTGTGTGTTATCTTGAAATAATGAATTCAAATGTGTTTATTACATTTAATTGTAGAATTTAAGAAAATGGAAATTCTTTGTTTTTTTTTTTTAGAAAACTCAATTGACGTTACAAATTATTTAATGCTTCTATGCAACTTTCACGGCAATAAATAATAAAAATAATATATTCACAATTAAATTAATTTGATGTCAGTTTTATGAGTCGCAAAAAGTTTTCTTATCTTCCTGTATGACTGTATCAATTATAAAATTATTTATATAACTTAAACGTACGATTAACGCAATTAAAAATTAATTATGTAGTTCTTGTAATTTATTTAAACTTTCTTATGTATTTGACATTAATGTTTTCGTTCTGCGTAAAATTTCGTATCGTTTCTGGAGCAAATCATTATAGGCTTACGTATATGTATGTAGTTGGTAATTACATGAAAGACAAGTAATTAAAATATATTGTTTACAAAACTGGAGACAAGTACGCGCAAAATATACAAAAAGAAATTAGTACGAAAACACACATACATAAAATGAAAACTTTAGAATGGACACAGATTAAAAATAGTGAAATCATCCGATATGAGTTTGTGTAAAAAAGTCATATACTCGTATGTGTAATATGTATGTATACTTATATAGGAGTTGTAAAATTTATTTAAACAAATAAAACAAAGCACTGTTCTGCATACAAATTGGAAGTGAACTACAATATTTGAGTGCTGAGGTTACTGGTGTAAATTAAAAATGTTTTTAGAATTAAGAATGTGCGAGAAATTAGTTACAATTTGTATTTTGTTTTACCATTCGGTTTAATTAATGGTAATTATAACTAACAAATTACAATTAGTTATTAATTAATTAAACGGTGTCTGTAAATTTACATTTATGTTCATTATTTTTTCTTGTTTTTTGTTTTTTGTTTTTTTTTGTTTGAGCAAAGGGGGCAAATACATATTTAGATACCTAATGCGAACTCATTAAGCAGTAGTTTGTTACATAAACCGTTACACTTAAGAAAAAACCAAAGTGGAATTGAATAGTGTGCGAATAAAATAAATGCATAAATATGTATGACAATAGCTTTTATTAGGCAACTGGTGGAACAGGAACAAATAACAGTATATTGCAATTATTTGATACCAAATTATGTACACAATGTCCTTAATAACTTTCAAAAACACGTAGAAGCGTGTTGTTAGACTTTTACCTTAAAACCGTTGAAACTTTTCAACTGTTTCGCAAATGAGATTAAAAAAAATACAGCTGCATGAACGATTACTGTAAATCGCAAATGTTAAAAGTGCCAAAAATACTTTACGTATTCATAATTTCCAAGTAATGACACTTTTTTCATATTTCCACATACCACACTCCACCCAATTCCACTTTGATGCTGACGCAAGCTGTTTTTTTGTATTATAATTTGCATTTAATGCGTTTACCTAGATAATAAGAAATGTTTTTTGTTTATTTATTTTCTTTCTTTTTTTTCAAACTAATACACATACAACACATACACACCACCTACAGTCAACGGCTAATCATCATCAATAACAACCGTCACAAGGTGTTGTGAGGTCACCACTGCCTTTTCATTTCAATTGCTGCTAATATCTTTGTTGTTGCATTAGCCGTTGATCTGCATCTGCATTCACATCCTCACATGCCGACATCTATGAGCGACGCAATCATGATGATGAAGCTGATGAGTTTTTCGTTGAACTGCCACCACCACTGCTGCCGCGCTGCTTATCAATATAGACGTTGAGTAGGCGCACTTTGCTTGGATTCAATACCGACAATTTCGGTTTCACCTTCTCCTCACCCATCACTATGTAGAGTTTAACGATGCAGAAAACGGCAGCCTTGCGTACCATCGACTCGCTGTCGTCAGTGAGACGTGCCAGATTTGGAAATACGCTGTCCAAATGTAATTCGGTCAACTCGGCGCCATGACGATCTGCCAGCTCTGTGAGCAACTTGACAGCGCACAAGTTAAGCGGATAAGAACTGGTTGCGATAACAGGATTTACAATATTAATGGTTGCGTTTAATGGCAATGAGGATACTATGCGTGGTATGATCAAATCGATTTCACGCGCCGTCTCCTTGCTGTGCTGATAACAGTTTATTATGCGCAACAAAATCAGCTCTAAGAAGTTGATCCAAGTGTCTTTCATTTTGGTGCTGCGCACTATTTTACCGAGCACACTTATCACGGCTATCATCACATCTGCAGCTTGCGAGTCCAACAGACCGAGCAACATTTTCATGATTGCACGGAAATTCTTGTTTGGCAGCTCGCAGTTGCCACCTTTAATGCAGATCTCCAAATTAGCGAGTGCCTGTTGCAGCTGCTCCACCGGCATTTCGGGCTTCAGTGCGCATGAGACACGTATAATCTCACTTTCGTTTAAGCCATTTTCGAGCACAAGTTCACCGTTAGACGCGATGGTGTAATTACAGCGTGTGTTGTGGTGTGTTGTGCCGCCTACAACTGCTGTGTTGGCATTTGGTGTTGCTGTAGTTAGTACATTTGTAGTCATGCGTTGATGTTGCTCCAACAAGTTGGCATCTAAACGCATTGTGGTACTTTCGGGTGTATTTGATTCGGTTGTCGTGGCCGATTGTGTCTTGGAATTGGAAGAAGCACACGAGTCTTGCTGATCGTGCAGGTAGCCATTGTAGCCATTGGCATTGGAGAGCGAATGATACTGACGCGTATTGTTCGTAGTCGTCTCGAGGCCTACACCAACACCGAAGCAATTTCGTATTTCCTCCGATGTTTTATGTATATTATGCTGTACATCTGCCTCCGAGTAGAGTTCATGGTCGACAGACGACTGTCGCGAACGTGGACTAGTAGTGCTGTATTGAGGCTGTAGTGATGAGAATGGTCCGAGCGATGGACTCTGCAGCGGTTTGGGACTGGCACTTGAATGTGGTGATGATGGTGAATTTGTGCCGGAAGTGCTGTTGCGTCGTAAGTGCGACTGTATAATGGCCTTAGCAGTATCCTGATAGCCCTTGGGTAGGCTGGATAATAATTTAGTCATCTGTGGTGTGCTGCGGTTGTATAGCGCTATGAGACATTTACGCGCTTGATCACGTAGATCCTTGCTTTTGGGATCACCAGCTTGTTGTACAATCTTCAGCACAGCCTTATCAACCGCCAACGGTCCGTCATCGGAGGGAAAGTCGGTGGACTTACAGTAACTGGTGGCCAAGTCTGTGAGGAATTTTAGTATGGCTATTTTGGTTTTGGTGCATGGAGTTTGTGCCGTGTCGGCGAGTATGCGGAAGACGTCCCTCAGCTGCTGGTCGGTAGAGAAATATTCGTGCACTACTTGTAATGTCTTGCCGATTTTAATGTGCATAGAGTTGAGTAACTCGGTGCCGAGTTTATTAAAGAGACGCGTTAGTAGAACGAAGAGCCAATCCTGCAGTTCGCTGGCATGAGTAAGTATCAACTCGGTCACTGCATCGAGAAACAGTGAATACACTTTAGTATGTGGATCCATGAATAATTTTCGGAACATGTCCAAAACAGCTTGTAATTGCTGTGGTGTTAGCTGATTGCCGTCGGCTAGGTACTGAGTTAAACTAATAACACCATCCTTACGATCAGACCAATGTGTAGAAGCGCAGTACTGTATAATTGTGTCGATGTCGTCGAACGGTGCGCGAGTACAACTCCAGTCTAGTCGATTTCGCGAGCCTGAGAGCGAATAATTCGAATTGTTGCCACGCGTCATTGACGAATCAAACGACCGCTCCGAACACACCGACGATGCCTCGGAGTCGTCGGACTCGTCGCGCGACAACAACTTTCGACCCATTCGCAAACCAGCGGTATAACCACGAGAATACTCGCCATAGTCAATAACGCGCTCCGCTTCAGGTGAAAGTGCATCGGCTAATGCGTTCTCCGCCTCGCGGCTCTGTTGCAAAATGCGTGCTGCAGCTAATGAACGCGAATTGCTACGCTCAGGTGTGCGACGTGCCGAACCTGTCGCATTATTCGTAGAATATATACTTCGTTTCATGGCAACGCGAGTGGGACTCGTTTCGCGCGAGCTGGTCAATGAGCGTGGTATGCCCGACGCCTTTTTTGGTATGGTACCAGTTATTGGTCTATATCCGTATTGTTCTCGCAACTTGGAGCTAGGTGAGGTGGAACGAGAACCAGGTTGTGACTGCGATACACCAGCTCTGCCGCGAGTACGAGGCGTTACGCCAACTGACGATTGCGAGCCTGGAGCACCAGCGGTGCTTGTCCCACCCATATACCGTGGTCGCGGTAAAGAGCCAGTGGCGGCCGTGCCTGTTGAGCCGGTACTATTACCGGTCGAGCTTGCATTATTAACCGCACTTAATTTTTTACGCGGATAAAAAGAGTACTGAGCACGTGCTTTGGCACGCTGGGCAGCTGCGGTATCAACAGCGGACACGCTACGCATTCCGGCAGCGGGCTTTTGCAGCGAGCCTGGTGAACGCTGGAATCGTGTAGTTGCTACAGCAGAACGGCGTTCAGCTTCAATCAGCACATTACCGCCGTCTCGTTCGCGTTCCAATGCACGCTGTGACGCAATGTCAAGTGTCGTGTAGATTTGGTCAGCAAGGTCAGGAAAGTGTCGACGAAACTTCCAATAGGCGCGACGCGAATGGCGGCGTGCCTCATTATCTGCATCTCCGATAGACCGTTTGAGCACATCGCGAAGTTGCTGAGCACAGCGCTCCAGAGCTTTTGTTGGCCACTCATCGAACATCAAACAAAGCATTTCACACAGAGCGCCGCGTATATCCTTCGACTTCGACTGCTGCAATGTTTCAGTTATGAGCTTAACCATTTTCGGAGAATGGGAATACTTGATGATATATTTTAGGGCGATTGTCGACGAAGAGGCAATTACTTTAGCAGAATTTTGAATTAAATTAATTAGTGCCTCTAGGATCGCCAAGCAGAAGGGTTCGAGCTTATTGCGCAGCGTCTTCGACATGTAGGCTATTGTAATACATGCCTCACGTATTACTTGGGAGCGTAACTCTTCCTTGAGTATATCAAGGAATGGAATAGAAAGATCTTTCAGCTGCGCAACAAATTGCGGCTGTGATTGTACATTTAACATTAATAACGAACGCACTTTCTTCAACGAATCGATGCGTTTCTCCCAATCGGCATTCTTATCGCTAATCACAACGATTATATTTCTATAAATGTCATCCATGTCTTTTGGGTGAAAAATAGTTAATTGTGGCACAACTTCAAAGGAAGATTCGAATATATCCATGGTGACGGCGCCAGCATCACCGCCTGCACTGGATTCTGAGCCGTTTGGCTTACCTCGCATTGATGCAGACACTGTACGCTTAACAATCTTTGTCGGACGATCTCGTACGCTGATGTTATCTGCCTCATCATGGCCATTATTTGCTGATGCTGTTGTTAGCAAAGCGGATTTCAATAACAGACCCTCAGCTTTTATTTGATCAAACTTTTGCTCAAGTATAGCTAATTTCGAGGCTGGCACCTCATCTTTCTTTCGCAGATCAGCACGCAGACGATCGCCCACGTGTTTATATATTTCCACAAGAGTCTGTATGGCCGCATCGCGCACTGTTGCTGTAGGATCGCCTAGCAAAGAGCTAATCGGCTGTATATAAGTTCGTACACTCAGTTGGGATGTACCATATTCGTTCAATGTGTTAACGATGGTTTGCAAAAATTCTTCACGCACTTTAGAATTCTTGTGTTTAAAGCAAGAGGCGGCCAGTTTGTCGATAGTGGCTTGTGGCGTTAACACTTTGTACTCCATCACTATTTGCAATAATAACTGGGCTTTTTCACGGACTGTATCTTTGCTATCGCCCAAACGGTCAATTACATGCGGTAGGACTGTGGCACTGTATGCATTAAAATCAGGTCCAAGTCGTTTTATTAGCTCAGAAAATGCTTCCAATGACTTTTGCGCTATTTTGAAATGGCTGCCGGTCAACCAAGGCATAAGGCCATCGACCAGCATACCCATATCCATGCAGACAATTGAATTTGTCTCATCGCTCAGGAATGTGACCAAATCTTCAGCGAGCAGAGCCTTAACTCTCATATCCGCTTTGGGCATCATTTGAATGAAGCCATCCAAATCATTCGGTTTACGGTACGCCATTTTTCCGAACTTTCGGAGTGTCGAATTTTGGATCTGAAATCAATAAATGTGTACCTAGTTCGCGGCCGCGGCAAAGTGCCGCTAAGTGGAATATTTATCTGCGCTGAAAAGATAAGTATAAAATAATATTAGTGAAAAATATTTATATAAATTAAAAATTTAATTCATTCTTACAGCTATAATGTAAATATTTTTGTTTTTTTTTGTGACTACAAAATATATTAGCACATTTCATACATATGCAAAAATAAATTATAGAAACTTTGACCTCATATCCAAATATCGTATTCACAGCCTTTTCTCAAACAGTCATTATTTGTTTAATTGAGCATCAAACATTAAAACCCCACAAGAAAATCACAGCTTCAAAGAAGAAACACAGCTGCTGGAAAATGATAAGTGCTGGTAGGGAATCACTGAAACCACCTTTCCACATGTACAAACCATATTTACATGCACCGTTGGGCTAGATTTCGGACGGGTACTGCATTGAATTCACGTAATTGCCCTTGTTCCGTCTAAAATGTTTGAAGAGCAATTTTTATCTGCTATTTCACTTGTTTTGACATTACCATTCCTACATAATAGAAAAAAAACTTTACCGAAACTGGCATCGACCCACCAAATTGTCCACCAAATGATGGGAGTAGTGTGGGAGCGGATGATTTTTAGCGAGTGAATCATCTTTCTTGGCTTTGTAGCGAAAATCGAAGGGAAAAGAAAAAAGAGAACCACCGGCTGTTGAGGCAGCGACTGTTTTTCTTCTCTGTTGTAAATGTACATACATATGTATGTAGAGGTGGTTAAAAGGTGTGTTTGGCCTGACTGGTTTGATTGTGTCTGTAACTTAGTGTAGATCTGATGGTGATATGCTTGTTTAGTTCGAAAATTTCTACCACACTCCTACTCCACCACAACGTCTTGTATCACCTAATTGTTTACACATTTACTTATTTGGAGAACAGATAAATTTTTATTAAATACTTCTATGTGTATGACGTTACCTACCAGCGCCGTTGATGATTGATATTTTTTATGTGCTGTTTCATTATTATTCTGTTGTATTGTTCTTTCTTTAATGGAAAATTATGATTGCCACCACGTATAGCGTGAATAAAAGTATAAGACGCACAGCACAGAACAAAATTTTTAAAAGGTTCATCTTAATCAACAGAAACTGTAATTACCAAGCAACGACAAAAAGTAAATTTGTATATTTGTCAACATGATAAAACGTGCTGTATCGTGAAAAATATTCTTGAATGTACTATCCAAAAGCATTTTTATTATAAATTCACACATTCTTAAGGCTCAAGATGTATATTTGTTAAATTACAAAAATGACATGAGGGTATAAGAAAATTAAATGAGGCAAAGCCATATAAAATAACAAAACATATTGACCGTCAGCGTTGCTAGCGTCATCGACGTCAACTGCGATCAACGTCGCAAAGTCGAATTTAATGCATACGCAATTTTCTATTTATAAGCACCGTTTTTTTTTTCAATGTTTCACATTAAAATCGAAAAAAAATTATGTCGTAGCCGGTTAATGTACAAACTTGTGTCCCCAACGTTGGTGCTGTTCAAGTAAATGTGTACATATAGAAGGCGCAGGGAAATGACACCGCACGCGCTGCATTGACAATTGGCCAAAGAAATGTCAAAGTGAGTCCAATTGATTTCAATTGGACGAGCAATGAACACCAATGTTATCGTCGTGGAGACACACATTTGAACGCAATTGAGGTGCTAAAAAATAAATGTGCTCAAAGGTGTGTGTGTGTGCCAAGTTTCACTATTGTGCTACGGTCTCATCGCCCCCACCGGTTGCTGATTGAGAGTTTGTACAACATACTTAAGCAACAATTATACTCATAAAAATCGTTTTTACATTTTCCTTGCATACTTTCTATCAATTAGTTTTTGTGATTTACTTGTATGTCATTTTTATTGAGTGTTTAATAAGTTTGTAGCATTTAACTTACCGAGCCTGAAACAAGATAAAAATCTGTTTCTAGGGTTACTATTGATAATAAAGCAACAGCAGCAGCTGCTTCGACTGCATCAATGACAGTAGTTGAAAGATTGGATTTAGGTGGTTGCTAATGCAGTTTTTTCTACAACCAAATTATGTTCCTTTGCTATTAACGTGCAGTAGGTAAAATTGATTTTCCAGCAGGGCCACCGATTTACAGCTTTCCTGCAGTCAGGATCGTGCAGGGCGTTCACTCTCTCCTTGTTTGATACTTTTGTTAATTCGTCAGCTTCTGCTTCTTTGTAAGGAATGCCTGTAATTTTTTCACTAGTATTAAACACATAATAATTTATTTAGCATGTCGAAGGCAAAGGCAATTTGTCGATTTAGGGAAATAATTTCTATTATTCAATAATATATTTTACTACTTTTACTAATTTCTATTGTGAGTTTCTGTATCGTTATTTGTTACTCGATGACCAAAACTTCCGCTGTTGCTTTTACTGTATGTACTCACATTTATCAAATTCCAATGTCTTTTTCTCCTTCTTTTTAAACGCTACGTTGCTTTACGTTTTTGCTGCTCTTTTTTGATTCTACCTGTGCCTTTTATTCCGCTAATCACGTTTAATAAACTTTATATTTCTATTAAATTTTATACATGTAGGTTTTCAATTTTTTAATAATCGTTTCAACAATTATGTTTTACGGTAGTTTACAACTGCTCACAAACAAAAACAACACGCACTTTTACACAAAATTTGTTCATCCGTTTTTGTTCTATCACTCAATTCGCGTTCCTTGGGTTTCTCGTTTTCGCTCTGCTTGCGATTTCCAGTGAGTGACGCAGTTGCGGCAGCTTCACCTTTGCACGAATTTCTCCTGTGACGGTATACAGTTTTGTTTTCATGTACCACTTTTTATATTCAAATTAGATATTCATGAAAATTTTCCAAATGTTGAACAGTTTTCTTAACTTTTTCACATATTTTTTACTTGTTTGCGTCTTATTTTTAGTTTTAAATTCGCAGTTTTTGCAACCACACGTAGAATCGTTGGAAATTCGTTCGCTCTTCGTAAAATTATGTCATTTTCAATTTCGTCCATCAAAATTCCAAAAGAATACAAAGGAATGGAATAAATGTCATGTGTGGAAGGAATTAAGAATAATGAGTAAATTTACAGGGTGTCTATATGTAATTTGCTTAATCTTTTTATATCACAATAATGTTTTCTTCGAAAATACAATTACAATTTTTAATCAAATGTTTACGGTCGCAGCTTACTCTAGTGAGCAAAATACTTAAAATACCCGCAAATTCATTGCTTTGTATTAACAAAACAGGAAGCCCAATTTTTTTTTTAATTTTTACATGAAAATTCTTGTCTTTCAACAAAGACTGAAATTCGGTTCAAAGTTTCTGCCAGCTTCAATAACGTCCAGACATATGTACATAGTTGAATACACAACATATTCTATTTTTTTTTTTTACGGTTTTTCGATTTTAACAAGGATTAGTGGTAGTGCAATTTTGTAAATTTTTCGACAGGATTTGTCAGATCGCAAAGTTCCGAAATTTGTCGCTTGCGCCAACGATTATGTGATTCTCTAACTCAGTTTTTGCCATAATCGACAACGGATATTTCCATTTTATTAAACTGAAGGAAAGGTTGCACCTAAGCTTAGCAAAACGTCAAAATATGCGAAAAAACAATGAGGAATGACATAAACAAATAAATTCATTTTAAAAATAATTTTTCTTAAATGAATAGCAATGCATTACGAAGTTTATCATATCAAAAAAAAAAACTTGTTTCAAGCATTAAAGTAACGCTAAACCAAAAAAAAAAAATAAGAAAAAACATGTTTGCACATTCATGCATAATTATAGAGGAGCTCCAAATAAAATAATTGTGCCTTGGATAATAAGCATTTACCGGCATAATCTTGCGATAAGGATCACATATCTATGTACAAATATAATGAGCTTTGTTACACGTTGGTAGAATGGTATCCAAGAAATCTGGAACTCATGAGTGACTCACGAGCGCAATCGATACCCACAATAGTGCCTCGAACAAAAAGCGACTTAATGAGAAATCTAGCCTTCGCAGCAAAAATTTAACGATTGGCTACTTTTGTCAGGCGATGAATACAATGGTAGCATCCAGTTGTAAAGAATCGCAAGGCGGTTACATTTTTCTCCGTAGATAATGTTGTGTTTTTCTGCCTTTAAGTTGGCTAACAGGAAACTCAGTTGCTTTCAAGTAGAAACGATCTTCAACTTCCCGAAGCCAACTTCTATCCTACGATGAAGAGTACAATACCTCCTCATCGTGTACCAAATCGTATGCCAAATATTCAAAAGCCATTTTTTTATTTTTATATAATGTTGGGAAAATGCGAGGCGAATGTCAGATGAAAGAGAGAAGCCGATAACTAGTACATTCTAAACGAGAACCTTCGATAGCGAACAACTCGATGATTTTACACTTTCGTCTGCGGGCAGCCGACTGCTATATAAAGGCGACACTCAGCTGCCAAGTCAAGTCAGTTACAAAGTGAACTCGTTGGCGTTAACATCAGTAAAGTCGTAAAGTAAACGCGTTGGAGATTACATTTAAGTAAAGTAGATTGTGAAAGTTTATACAAGTGATTATAACTAGTAAAGTGCATTGTAATTGAATTGTGAATTACTGAGTAAATAAAGGATATTAGATAAATTCTTTATAACGAAAGAAACTGCAAATTAAGTTGGCGAGTTTTATTTAACAATCTAGAGATCGTGCCCGACGGATTCAGAAAATCATCGAGGTAGATTTAGCAAAATCGTAACAATAACTTAGGCAATTTCTTGGACTCACTTAAATGAAATAACAATATTTTTTCGTCATCGCTAATAACTTAAAAATATTCGTCGCTTAGTTAGCGATTTGTCGAGTAGTTTACGACAACAGCGAGAGGGAATATCGTTAAAATAAGTACACCGAATGTTAAAATCGTTAAAAATATCGCTAAGTCTTATTTGCGATCCGAAAATCGTTATACTGCGCTTAGAAAATAGCGAAATTGTTAAAATTATGGTTAATTCTTTTTAACGATCCAAAAATCGTGTATGTAGAGAATAGCGAAACCGTTAAAATTACCGTTAAGCCATTTTAGAGATCCGAAATCATTATAATACGATAGAGAATTCCCCTACAAATTTTCCAATTCTTCATAACAATAAAGCATATACAAATGTACATGTACATATATTAATTTACAAAAATGCTTACTTACACAAACATAATATATGGAAATATGTGCCCTGATCATTCTAATTCAATAAAAAACAAAAACCTTTTGTTCTGCTGATTTGGCGTCTCTGCAATATTTTTTTTTTGACAATAAATGTCAATAAACTCGAACCAGCTGCACACATATTAATGTGCAAACATACATACATATGCTTAAAACCATAATATTTTCTTGTAAGTATGTATGTATATATTTACCATTTTGGAGTGCTAAAAATTTCTTATCACACAGATGTTTTTAGTGGTTGGATAAGCTTAATCAACTTTATTTTTTAAAAGCTTATATGTATGTCACTAAGTATATAATACACATATTATATTTATATACGCTACTCATTAATTTCCCGAAGAAAGAACGTTTAATACTTTTAGTGATAATTCGCTAAGCAAAAGTAATAACTTTTTCAATTTACATATATATGTACTAGGTCTAATATTATAATAAACAAAATGTTCAAATCTGTCAATGTTAAAAAAAACTACTCAACGACGTCCACAGATAAGCCTTTTAAACAGCCAGTCTTTAATCTTTGCATCGCCATTTCACTGGTGAACTTGATGAACTGCTTGCGCACGACCAGATGGATCTTCGGGACAGCCCCAGTCCAAACGCGGCACCCAACGTGTCACTGTTTGCGCTGCCGCTGGGCCAGGGAATAACTCTTCGAAAATTGAACGATAATAGTAGGCCTCTTTCGTGGTGGGTGTGTTAATGGGGAAACGTTCGACGGCTGTAGCGAATTGCGCGTCTGTTATGTGTGAGGTCGCCACACGACGTATGCTATCAATCCAGTCATAGCCAACACCGTCGGAGAATTGTTCCTTCTGACGCCAAAGAACTTCATTGGGCAGGTAATTGTTTGCAAAGGCAGCACGTAGAATATGCTTTTCAATGCGATACTTTTGCTGGTTATCCAAACAGTTGAGATCGCCAGGTATCTTATCCTCTGGTCGCACTGACATCACATAGTTAACAAACGCTGTATCGAGGAAGGGCACGCGCAACTCCAGTCCTTTGGCCATAGTAACTTTGTTGGCACGCAGACAATCGGATACATTGATTAGTTGCACACGCTTTACAAGCTCTTTGTGGAACTCTACCGGATTTGGTGCCTTGAAGAAGTATAGGTAACCGCCCAATATTTCGTCCGCACCTTCGCCAGACAATATCATCTTAATACCCGTACTTTTGATGTGGCGTGCCAATAATAACATAGGCAAACTGCAACGTACCGTAGTCACATCGTATGTCTCCAAATGGTAGATGATATCGCGTATACCATCCAATGCGTCGTCAATTTCGAAGATTACCTCAGTATGATCGCTGTCAATATAATCTGCAACCAATCTTGCAGCTTTAAAATCGGGCGCATTACGTAAACCCACTGAAAAAGTCTTCAATCGGTATTTTGGATCGCGTTCACGGCGCAGTTTTGATGCAATCGACGCTACTAAACTGGAGTCGACACCGCCTGAGAGTAGTGCACCGAAGGGTACATCACACTGCAAATGTGAACGTACCGCCGATTCAAATTTGGAGCGCAGTAGTGTCAAGTCCACCGTCTGTGTGGGTACATGCTCGATCCACTGCTCTTTGAAATATGTTTTACGCTGCAGATTGTTGGCTGGCCCTACACGCAGCTCACCAGTCTTAAACAGTTCCAATTTCGGACAAAATTCGACTAAACACTTCATCTCCGAGGCTACCCAAACGTTACCATCCACATCCTCACCAATATACAGCGGTATTATACCGAATGGATCGCGTGCTATTAATATGTTTTTCGTACGTTTGTCATAAAGCACAAAGGCAAACATGCCGGTAATATACTCCAACAACTGTTCGCCATACTCTTCATACAATTCAACAATAACATTGCAATCACTTTTGGGCTTGTAATGTCCACGCTTCTTAGCTATTTCTGCTGATTGTTCAAGATAGTTGTAAATTTCGCCGTTAGCCACCACAATCACATCACCGCTCTCGGAAACCAATGGTTGATGACCAGTGTGCACACCAACGACTGCCAAACGTTCATGTATCAGCACCACACCATCCTCCGGTATCACTTTCACACCTGTATCATCCGGACCCCGATGCCGTTGCTTTCCGCTTTGCCGATATGCAATCTCACGTAACGTATGCACACAACCGTGATAGATCTTTGGCTCAATGGGTTGACCATCTTTTGAAAATATCGCAAATATTCCGCACATTTTTCGACTTTACTAAGTTTGACTATGCGTATGGTGCCTTAATTTAATATACTTGAATTTACTTGCAAGTGCTTGACGCTCAACGTCTGATGTACAAATGAAAATTTTTAGCTTTTGTTTTGCGCTTTTATAAAGTCGCTCCCCAGTCAATCATACTTATCACTACGATAGCCGGTGATTACCGACTCTCACAAATTGCATCATAAATATTGTACGACCGCCACAATGTGTTTGACAAGTACTGTGCCAGCGATGGCCAATAATAACGTCTACTTTTCGAGACTAATTGCTTGCTTGTGCTCACATAAAGGCGTGAAAGAGGTAGTAGTGAGGGTGGTGGTAGTACATCTTCTCGTCTTTTAAGCTCTCTACTTATTTAAAATTGTATACATATCAACATACCAGTCAAAGCCATACACTTTCACACACACACACACCTGGAGAGATGACAAGTGTATTGAGTCGGCCAGCCGTTGACGTTCAGTCTTTCCATCGGCGAGTTCACATATCGTTCTAGAGCAGTATTAAAAATATAATATTAACTTTTCGATAACTTTAGTATAAAACTAAATAATAAAACATTATGTCACTATCGCTATGAGAGACTGTGCAGTTTGATGGCTGATAAGTACTGCAACTCCATGGCTTTTTCGTAGAAGACAGCTAAAAATGTTTTCTACAGCCTCATAACGAAACTTAGCAAGTCTACTACTATTGCAGTCAAAGCGAACACTGTAGACGGTTCTAAAATTAAAATCGCTGAGTGTGTTCTTCTCTATGTATGCTGAGATGTAGAGAGATTTTTCAAAGCTTTGTATATTTTTATGTATGTATGTAGGTTTGCAAATCTATATGTAAGAGCAACATTTGACACGTGTAACTAAGGGATGACCGAAGCATGTATGCAAATATCACCCACCCTGCAATTCGAACAAAACATAAGGGCCGTTCTCTGTGCTCCACATAAAGGCTATTAAGACCTCGATTCTTGTGGAAATTCTGGTTCACGTTTTTAATATTTTTTTTTGGACCTCTCCGTTCAAAAGTACTGGGATATTTTGCTCTACAATGTCGCTATCACGGTCATACTCAGCGGTACGTGGATTGCTTTTTCAGCACTTGCCCCCTTTGGCGGCATAATGAGAAAAAATTTCGATGTTATATTGATCAAATCGCTAATTACATTCTATTGGCAGCTCAGTTTACTGACAATTGCTGCTTTGTAACCGTTGAAACGATGTTCGACCGAGCTGCTGCTCCAATTTTTGGCGTTTGTCTTAATGTTTTTCCAACAAATGGAGGAACCATCGGAGCTTTTTATTTCATGCCAGAAATAACTCGATGGGCTTGACAATACCTCCCGCGGAGCAACCGCAATTAGCAAAATTTCTATAATTTTGAACATTGGTCGCCCCAGTACTCGCACCTTGGCCTTCCGGAGGGTGGGACGCACTGCTAACCACTACTACTTGACCTAACGGTTGTCTGGTGGTCATTATCAGGTTTCTTTTTCTTCAATTAGGAGACTAGTATTGGAGTCTAGTTCTCTTTGGTCGCCTCCATTGTCATTGAAGGGATCTCGCCATATTTTACCAATATTACCGTGCGATAAAATTATTTTTGCAAAAAAAAAATTAATGCCTTTGAAATGAACGCTCTGTCTAGCAATGAAATGTTTATAACTCTTTCAATTTTTTTTTTTTTTCAGAGTACACAAATTAAGATAATTAGTAGCCCATAAGCACCTGTACTTACATAGGATTACTATAAATATACTTACATACACATATATATAGCGTCGGCATTCCGAATTTTTGGATTGTAGTATTATGTATACACACTTTTAACACATTCATTAAATGTTTGCTAAAAGACCCTATAGGAAATTTGGTTACTGCATAATAGTGTAGTGTTTCAACCCAGTTTTAACGCTTGAATAGACGCACTTTGTCCAACAGTTAATCAATTTTTACAGCAGTTAAAATTCTAAAGAATATTAGCTGTGTTGTCTTGACGTCAAACATTCAAAAAAACATCAACTGGGATAATGAATTTTGGAAAGGAAAACAAAAACAAAAAAAAAAGCAACTTGGCTTCCTAATGTACATTCAGGTGTTAAAGATCACAGCCATTGAGCCGTAGAAATGTTCACCACATAATCCATGCAAAGTTGTAACCTAAAGTTCATCCCTACTGGTCAGCATTGGAAACAAAGTACTTAAAATTTAGCGCCAATGATAACTACACACATACATTTGTCTTAAAAATCTTAAAAATGCTTACAAAAAGGGTCTTAGCCGGATTACTGTGAAAATATCAGTATTCTTAAAGAAGCGTATTTAGTACTTATGTACATAGATAGATAAGGAGCGAGGTATTTCACTTCGATCGCTGGTCAATTATGCCTCCTGATTTTGAGTCCAGTTCATTCATTGCGTATGGGCCTGGGTTGAGGCAGCTTCCCATCAAGTTTATTTATTTTTAAAGCGGTTATAAATATGTCTAAAAAGTTTAAAAACAATGGTTTTTTAATCTTGTTGATTTCTGTAAGATCTTGAGAAAGTCAGTTTGGTTTTAAAGGCGTTTTTCTCGTAGCTGTGTTTTGAAAGTCGGCTATCAAAAGTCTTCAAAAACCTCTCAACCGATCTTGATGAAATTTTACACAGGTCTTCGATATACAAAACACGGAGAATTTCACTAGAATTTGAATTTTTTTTGAAAAGAGTCTGCAAAAAATGAAATTTCAACCCTTTTTTTTGTTTTTCTTCGTCCAATTTCTAGTTCACTTCGGATGATGTTATCATGAGTACTACTGTCAACACAGACATAACGTCTTTCCGAGGGGTCACCGGAAATGGCGTAATAATGGCGATTGTTGTTGACAGTCCTTGGCCGAATGAAAATCAGAGTCGTTCTGGTATAAAACATTCGTTATTGAGCCGTAGTGCGAGCTAGACAGTAGCGGTTGCACTATTTCCAGACATTCTGAGTTACTGAGGGACCCACCTGTAAAACTGACTGTATACCTAACTATATTTTTATAATTTACTAGGAACACATTTTATTTTTATATTGAAAATAAAATTAATAAATAATAAAAATGAAAATTAAATATTCTTCAAATCACGTTGTACTGAAATGTTCTGTGTTTTTTTGTATAGATTCAGAAAAGATATAAATAAAAACTCAGCAACAAAAAAACAGCTTCAAAATTCAAATAAAAATACTCAACTTATGGCAATCATCCAATCAGCTGTTGGTTTGTTTTTGTTTGTATTAAATGTAAAGTGAATTCCATAAGACCGGTTTAGGTGCGAGAATATGGTGTAACTATGTGATTTCAATTTATATGGCTTTATACGTACTGGACAAGAGGAGCAAAGTTAGGGGAGCAGCAACAAGTAAACAATACGAAATCGCCATCGATAATTGTACGAATAGCAGCTTGGTTGAGTGTGCTTTCTTCCAAGCTAATAGAAACGACGACTTGAGTTTCACTTCGCAACGAGTAAAGCTTGCGTACAGACGTTGTTGATTCGTTGGAATCGGGCTCAAATTTATTAATAAAAAGTGTACTTAATTCCAAAATTTCTTAAGAATTTCTTTTTTAAAAACTTATCTGAAAAAAAATATCGTTCAAAATGTGGAAGCGTGTAGCAACGGAAACAGGAAGCATATGGATTACAAGAGGAAAATATCAGTTGCGTCTGCGCTCTTTTACACCTGCTGCAACTTTCACTTTTCCACAACAACCAAGCATTCGTACGTCGACGTCAACGTCAGCAGCAAAGCCAACACCTCCGAAACACGACTGGAATCGTGCTGTTAGTGAGGCAGAACGTATTGTTGGCTATCCAACCTCATTCCTTAGCCTACGTTGGTTATTAAGCGATGAAATTGCAAATGTTGCCTTACATCTCAGAAAATTGGTGGGCAGTAATCATCCTTTACTAAAGACAGCGAAGTAAAACACTAAAACTTTTAAAGAATATATTTATTATTTAACTATATATTTCTTGTATATTTTCAGACACTTACTTTATAATGGCAAAAATACAATGCAAGCATGGGGACTGATAGTGCTGCTGATATCGAAAGCCGCTGGTCATGCACCGTCAGTGCCAGACATGGAACAAGACAAAAGTGCCGGAGTCCTACATTCTCAACGTGCCTTAGCAGAAGTTACGGAAATGATTAGAATTTCTCATCTTGTGCACAATGTAAGTGGTTTACTTTGTTCGATGCACATTTTTAATTGTTTAATTCTTTATAAAAGAGTCTGGTGAATTTGCAACCATCATCAGAGGCTGGAAAGGATACTGCTACATATGAAGATATGGCTTTTGGCAACAAGATCGGTTTACTTACCGGTGACTACCTGCTTGGGCATTCTAGTGCTGAACTGGCCAATTTGCGTAATCAAGAAGTAGTCGAATTAATTTCTTCTGCAGTTCGAGATTTTTCAGAGTCCCAATTTGTTGGCGAGCGGGATGAACAAAATAATCCATTACCTTACAAGCCAGGTACTGAACCACCCAAAACTAACGGTACAGCAACAACAGAAAGCATCGATTTCGATGTCAACGACGTGATGATACCTATGAATATATCTAAAGTCTTGGGTAATCCTGAAAAGGAATGGGAATGTCGTAATATATTAAACGCTGGCAGTTTGCTTGGCAAAGCCTGCCAGGGTGCTTTAAAGTTAGCTGGTCAAAGTGAGGATATGCAACGACAAGCATATCTCTTTGGAAAACATTTATCGTTGGCATGGCAGGCATGCTTGGATGCGGAGCCATTCCAAAGCGCAACGTTGCCAATAGGTAATGGAATATTTTCAGCTCAACTTATTACCTACTATCATATATTATTTGCTATTTCTAGATACCACATTCAGTCTGGTAAGCGCGCCGGTATTGTATCATCTCGAATATGATCCTTCCTTGTATGAAGAGATTGAAAAGGGCCAAGTTTCGGTGGAAAATATCGATTACGCCAAAATTCATAAAGCAATTTCAGCCGGACCTGGACTAGAAAAGACGAAAGTTTTGCAACGAAAACATACGACGGCTGCAATGGAGGTTCTAGAGAAATTTCCGCCTACGGATGCACGCACAGCTCTCGAGAACATTATTCTTGCGATGCAAGACTTGTAGTTATATTGTAAAAAAGGAGGAATTATTTAAAATTAAAACAATTTAATCTAGGCAATCAGTTTTGTTAACATGTAATATATTTATTTTTATCTTTTATTTCTTTTTTCGAGATTTGTTACAATATTTTTTGTTATATTACGTTACGCCATTAATACTTAATTTTTAATATGTTTAATTCGTATGTTTTATTTTTAAAAGCACTAAGTGTCTACAACGTTCGTATTCAAAATACTGTGGAAAATCTGTTTCAATATATTCAAAATTCCAAGGTTTATGAATAGTTTGCTTCAAGAAATATTCAAACATTGGCGCCACTGTGTCCAAATCCGACAATGTGAAAACATAGCGTTTTTCCAATGCAATATAAACTGTTTTCTGTTTCCCGGATAATTTGCCACGCTGAAAGAATACGTCTATAACACGTATGAAAGCATTGGTCAGATCATCGTCGTAAATTACGTCAGCTGCTACAACCACATCAGTATTGTCAATGGCTTTTAATAATGAATGTGAATATTCTCCTACAGGCTTCAAAAAATCTAACTCCAATACATCAATATTACAAGTTTTAGAAATTAAACTAGAATTGTGTTTTATATTCTCACGTATCAAGTCTAAAATTCCTCCAACATTCACATCTGTGCACACTACCTGTTGCGCATAGATGCCAGCAGCAATGCTTGTCAGACCGACTCCAGCGCCTAATTCCATTACGAATTTGCCTTGAAATTCTACTCGCTTGTGAAATATATAATCTGCTAAAAGTAAAGCACCACGCCAAACTTGTAGTCCTACTAAACGTAACTCAGTGGATTCGGAATGTTCTATTGTAATTACACCATTCAATGATGCTTCTGCCTTCCTTTTTACAATTAAGTCTCCATCCTTGTCGGTAAGTGTACCGTCCAATGTATCTAAATGATCTTCATTAGGAGGATAGGTGAATTTGAACTTGGACAATACTCTTCCATTGTTACTTTTGACAGTGCCATAGTTTGTCTCACCGTAGATTTCACTGGTCACTTTGTACATATTCCTTTTTTTCCTCTGCTCAACTTATATAATGTTTAGTGCTTCCACTATCGCAAACCCTTTTTAAATGGCAAAAAGGTACGTTTTTTTCCATATACATAGTGTCAGCTGCCCTGTGATTTGTTATGATGTCGTTATAAATAGCCAATCTCTGAACTTGACAGCAAAACAAGGCTATTTTGATTTATTGGCTAGTTGACGAAACGATATCGATATATATCGATTTTATATTTATGATTTTTTTGTAGAATGATGTAACGGAAATGTTTAAAAAACGTATTTGAAGCCAAAAATTAAATACACTGAGATTTTTAATTGTGAAATTGTAAAAGGTAATGATATAATTTTACTAAGTTTCAAACTTGGGAAACTCATTTTTAATTAACATGGGATTTACGAACAAACCGTTGTATTTGCTAGTTTTTGTATGAATTATTGTTGATAACCAAAACGAAATGGGTGAGAACCGAAACAAAGAACACACTTGAAATCAAACGTTGTATGTAAATTTAAAAAAAGAAAAAAAATTTAACTTACCTTTACTACAAACTTTCATCTTCCAAACCAGCGAAACAGAAATCTGTCAAATTTCGTGGCGTGTGTTGGGATAATTCGAGTTCATAATTAATAAAACTAACAATCTAATTTACGAAGCCGTGAAAAAGTCATTTAAGGATACTCGATTGATTTTTGCAATCGCTATATTATAGCGAATTTGCAGTGGTGTTTCACAGCGGGCGAGCGAGATGTCACTATTGGTATAACGAAAGTAAATAAAGAGGAAGAAGAGCGAACTGTCAAACGTGAAAATTTTACAGAAGAAAGAAAATTTTTCGCCGTGGCGACGTTATAGTTGCAATTCTCCTAATGAAGCCGAAATAAAATAGTTTATAACTTTTTAAGAATTTTAGGCAGACAAACGGAAGTCATATATAACATCGACTAAATTTCGGGGTGAGTTGTTAAGATCGTGGTGGCTGCTCCAGTGCTAAGGAAAAGATTTGTCGCGTGGACATAAAGCACGGAAAATGACGGAAATGTGACGAAGTGATTTTCTTTTATTCATAAAATACAGCGTGACATAGAATACCAAGCAGCTTAAAAAGTTTCTTAATAATGAAATTCTGATTATAAAAATAACATATTGTTTAAATAGAAAGAATAAAGTTGAATTGAGGTGGCATAATGGAGTCAAGAACTAGTGATGTAAATTACTGCAGTAATGAATATGCGAATACCCAATCTACCTGCTAGGGAGCCATATGCGTTGCATTAGAAAGGTCTATGTGGTATGAAATATGGGAATTAAGTTTAATATTCTTGTGTTTATTATTAAAAGTTGTAGTTTATATAAAAAAGTACATATGTATTATTTGGAAAAAGAAACGCGGGAAATACAGTATCCGGTTGATTTCAATTCAAAATAAATATAAGCAACAAGTACTGCACGATGAATATACGTCACTAATTTTAGCCCAACTTTATAGCTAAACTGACAGATTCACATTAACATCACTTTTATATGTGCGAAAGAGAAGGGATTTTATAGTGCTTTGCCACTCGTTTTACTCTTACTTCATCTGTCAAATAAAAAAATTGGAAAAATTTTCAGCAGCAAATCGGGCCAATATTCGTGATTGCAAACACTCAAATCTTATATTTTTATTGTGGAATAAAATAGGAAATAGATAAAAATTGTTAACGCTGAGTGAATGGCAAAAACTATGGGAACTTAAACAAATATGCAAGTGGTGAGACATCCAATGTGTTTAGAAGAAGAAGCTCAGAAGAGAAGGGGAGGTCGAAAGTCAATCGACAACAAGCAAAAATTTTTAGATATAAAACGCCTCTTATACGCTACTCGTAGTATTTATATATATGTTTATATATTTAAAAAATACCTATATATCTATAAATTAACCCGTGCAATTATTCTCTAATTTTAGTGGTGTGCCAGACGTGTTTAATCATTACTAATTAAAAAAAGCAGTAATTATTTTATAAAAAAAACGAGTTTGGGAGTATCAGTAGCTAAATAAACGACGTAGAAAATACTAAATACGTGAAAAAAGTGAACAAAAATGTTTTGGGACAAAAGTTACACACCGTCGCAAAATATAGAGGCGTTGCTGGAGAAAGAGGTGAGTGACGTATTTATATCTCATGTATGGCTGCTTATATGTATGAATGTACATTCATATGTACACATCAATTTTGTATGGTTTGCTGCGATTTGAAGTGTTCAAGATATTAAGTTTCCATGCTGTTGCACACGCATCAGTGCTCCATCACTGAAACAAACAGCTCTTCACTAATTGTACCAAAGCCATATCTAACGCTGCGTGGTTACGAATAAATTTGTATGCATGCTTTGTAAAAGTATACGTACATTCCGTGGTAATTCCTTTCATATATTAATATATCTATATTTTCTCTTTATAGAATGTAAGCGTGGAGGAATTTCTGGACGATGATGATATATTATTGGAGTGTAGATCACAGAAAAAATCCATTGTTAATTAGTAAGTTTCTAAAATTTTTATTATTACTACTAAAAACTCCTCCATAACATAATGATTATTTCTATACAATTAATTCACACTTAATTTTGCAGTTTCACTCGTCCCGATGTAATCAAACGCCTTGTTGAATTAATCACAACAGAGCCGTCAGACGATCTACCTTTGGCACAAAGATATCGCCATGCGCATATGGCTTGTGAAATTTTAACGTTGTAAGTATATTAAAAAATACTAGGCACACATTGTTTTATATGTAATTAATTGTGTTTATAAATTCCAGCGGCTTACCGTCCTTAGATGAAAAGCTATTGTCTGATGAAGATTTATTGAAAACTCTTTATTCATATCTGGAAAATGAACCACCGTTGAATCCTTTGCTATCGTCATTTTTTAGCAAAACATTTAGTATGCTCTTCACAAGAAAGGCTGAACAAGATTGGTTTTTGTATCAACAAATGTGCCTACAACTCTTGGAATACATTAAGTCGCAAAATAATTTTTTGGATTTGATTAGTAAGCATTTTTCCACACCCGTTATACCCGATTTGATAATGCAAATGATGAGGGAAGTAGAAGGCGGTCAGATGAAACGGAATTTATATGAAGTAAGTTAGTTTTGCGACTGCTTATAATTTTTTTCTTACTGTATAAATTAAAAAAAAAAATAATATTTCAGTGGCTCACTGAAGATAAACTTGTAGAGAGACTGGTTGAAATAATTGGTAATCCCCAAGAAACCGACAAACATGCAAATGTTGCGGAATTTCTCTGTGATTTAATACAACAAGGTCGTTCCATGCGTCATATGGAGCAAGAGAACGACTCGTTTGAGCCTACATTCGATGGTTCGAATCCAATTTTGAAATGTATCGAAAGTGAGCAAAATATTGAAGCCTTGTTGAATGTGATTTTAGAACCAAATGCGCAAGAGAGCGCAGTTGTATCAGGAATATCGGTTGTACTTATGCTTTTAAAACCTGTGGTGTTTACGTAAGTAACAGTGATGGGCTTGATTTGAATGTATGTAAGGGTTTTATTATATTTTAAATAAAATATTTTTGCTATTACAGTGATGAACCTAATTCTGATCGTATGAAATACATACAAAATCGTGAAAAAGAGATTCGTGAACAAATACTCTCCACTGTGATTCGTGTCATTGCACCGCGTCTTAAAGATTTCAACGAGCTACTCAGAAACCCGCCAAAAGTAAGTTAATATATGCAACACTAACTTATGGAGTACATCCTAAAATTTTTTAATTAAATAATTTTGTAGAAACCAGAAATAGTAACTACAGCAGCTAAGCTAACGCAGCCTTTTGGAATGACCCGTTTGCAAATCTGTCGTATTTTTACAGTATTATTGCAGACTAAAAATGAAGAGATTTCGAAAGCGTGAGTGCCATTAATTTTGTTTCCAAAATACACAGTGTAATATTCTCATATATATTTATTTCCATTAGCGTCTGTGAAACGGATTTCTTCGAAACCCTACTCACCCTATTTAAGCAATATTGTTGGAATAATTTTTTGCATAGCGAAGTTGAAAAATGTCTTCAATTAGTATTTTATACACAACTATCCAATAATAATTCAACACAAGGCAGTACAATTGTAAATGATGGTTCATTCAACAAAGCCGAAAATAATTCCGAAAATACATCATTTTTCGATTTTGTTTTTAAGTCTGATAATAGCAAGAATGATAAAATTGAGGCTAACGAAGAAAGTGAAAATCTCGAAAAAGTAGAAAAAAATACAGTCGAAAAAGAAGATGTTGAAATGAAAGCCGAAGAACAAATCGGCGACGGTAAAAATGAAACATCAACCGAAGCTACAAACGAAAAATCTGAAGCAACAGCGAATTCCAATGCCATGGAAACCGATGATGGTGCTGTTGCAAATGAAAAGTCAGCAGAGGATAAAGAAAAAGCCATCGATGCGAAAGCAGATGATGAAGAAAAAGAAGATGAGGAGAGCGAGTTGAACAAAACAAAAGTTCATACCGACAGTGGTCCGTCCGCTTTACAAATACACGTGTGTATTGTTTATAAAAACCCTTAAACAAAACAAAATGTAAAATATTTAAATCTATATCATTGATAGGTGGTGGAAAAATGCCAGCTGGTTTCCAAACTAATTGATTGTTGGAAATATAACGCAGAGATGGAGTAAGCTATTAATTGTTTTCAATTTATATTTGTACTCTTTCCTAAACATAACATTTTATTAACCCTAAAATAGATCAGCGGAAAAAGGTCGCCGTCTTGGCTATATGGGACATTTAATAAAAATATTCAAACATATTACGGATAGTATATCAGAATCTGAACATATCGGTGCCTTAATTGAGAGTAATTTAAGTGATGAGTTTGAATTAAAATTGTGGCAATCAATAATAAATCCAACCGATGGTGATCTTACAAAGGCCTTAGCCACACAAAATAAAATGTTAGCGAATTGTAATGCCCACGAAGCGGGCGACTATAGCCAACATTTACCAAAAGATTTTATGGGTGATAATAGTACTTGGGACTACATAATGTCATCGAATATGATGTAAGTTCTCCCTAAACAAAGTATTGCCTATTATTAGTATTCGAAATTTACTAATTTGTCATTTTTGATTTTAGCAATAATCTTGGATTTAGTGATTCCGGTTCAAACGTAAGTGTTATCTAATAAATTCAAAATATTGTGTTATATGTAGATGACAAGAAACACGCCAAATGAGTCATTAAGCTTTTTTTCCATAAACATTTGTAATTGCATTGCTTATGCAAGTCGCAAAACGTTATAATTCTTACGGTTTATTACCTTATAATAAAAAAAAAATACGCTCTAAACTAAATTGCATAGTTATTCGGATATAATATGGAATCACATGTAAAAGTAATATGTAATTTTACATTTTTTTATTCAGCAACAAACTTTGTGACTTGCTTTATGCAATGCATTAAATATTTGTGAAACAGTACATTTAGTAAATTGAGTTTTGTAATTATGCACAGGCACAGTTAACACTTATTAACACTTCATTTTCATTTCATTTTGTAATACCACTTAAAAAAGCTATTCTGTTATTCAATAAAAACTGACGTTTTTTTTTTTTAATAATTTTTAAACAAAATATCGGCTATTGCCATCGAAAACCACCTCTTTTCATATCTCCGGCTACTGCCAATGCAAAAATATAGTGAAGTAAAAGAAATAATAATGGGGTTTGCGAGAAAAGGTGGTTTACCAAAATTGTAGCCAATGTAGTTCTACATATTTGTTTGTACGTATGTATGTACACCTATATGTCTGTATGTTTGTATGTATGTATGTATGTATGTATGTAGTTCTTTGTAAACATTTCACTTTCATTTCACTATCTGCTATCTTTGTCTATTTGTCGTGTCCTGAACGCAATTCGCAAACGTGTGCCAACCACCATCACCAAAACGACAGGACATAGTTTATGCGCTTGAACATGACATCTATCGCAATAGTCTAAACGATGATAACGCCGAAAACGACCTTAATTTGTTTCAGTTCGGTCGCAATATTGAAGACGATGACGACGATGATGATGAGAACAACGCCGGCAATGATGGTAGCGGTGGCAGCGGTGTTGGTTCCTCTCTCTTTGGCAAAAGTGCCGTTTCAACATCAGCACTACAAGCATTCGGTGTTACCAACAATCCATGGGATCATATGGATCCATTCTGCGATATGACTGCGAATAGCAATTCAACACCATGGACAGCTGATTTCAATTCGGATAATTTTGCTGATTTCGATTCGCATTTCAGTTCGTTCACCAATGATTTGGGCGAGAGTTTGGTTAATGCAGCATCTACGACAGCAGCAGCAACAGCAACAACAGCGACAACAGCAACAACAACAAAGGCTACACCGGCAACTACAGATAATAGTAATAATGATGTTGAAAGTAATGATAGCAGCAATGATGGCATTGCTAATATACAGCAACAGCAACAGCAACAACAACAAGAGTCCAATACAATAGACAACGATACAGTGTTGAGTGCAATCGGACGGGCTAATAGCGCGCCCATAATGAGCGACAGGAAATCCGAAACGGGTTACGATAATAATGCTAATGTAGAGAAGAGCATAACCTTGATAGCACAAGAGATTGGCGAATTCGCCGACGGTACAGATTTGTCCGACAATTTAGATGTGTCGAATGAGAAGGCCTTGGCCACTTCATTGGTGCGTACACTGCAATCGGTTATGCAAGATTCCGAAGATGATTATGAGGATGATGAAGGCATGTGGACTAAACCGCTGGGCGGTAGTGCAATCGATGCAGACGATGATGGAAGTGATGACGGCGGCGGCGAACAGAAACCGAATGAGCTGCGTTACACCAACGGTCCAAGTAGCAAAGACGCTCATGAAAATGATAATACACATAAATTGTAAGCGCTTTTTCCGTCTCCTTATTTCACTTTCTTCGAATGCTCTATCATTGAACGCAACAATGCCTGTGCCAACAACTCCAACTACTTATATACAAGTATATTCAATAACACACGCACTCGTTGCTTAACAAGATTAGATCATTGTGAAAATACAATATAATTAGCATTTAACGTGTGCAAATCGCAGAGGTAAAGCATAGTTCCAAATATAAATAACAACAAAATCATTTTGTAATATTACTATTATTATTATTATTATTATTATTAAGTATGTGACTGAATCTCTATGGCTTGTATTACTGTAATACATATATTTTAGTTGGCAAGTGTAATCTTTTTTTTTAGCTTTATTAATGTGGCGGATGGAGGTAAAGTTTACAAAGTAATTGCTTTTTTTATAAAAGTGTGCTTTTAACATGTTTCCCCTTTTGTATGCTTTTTATGTTTAGCGGTTGATATAATTAAGTTTAAGAGACTTGGTGAATTTATTTCTAGTTTTCCAATATTTTAGAGCATATGCAGTGGGAGGTGTGGTAGGTATATCAAAATTATATATTTCCGCAAAAAGAAATTAAAAAAAGTAAGCTTAAATCAAAATTTGGTATTTATTTTTGCTAATCAGGGCAGTTTTTTTTTTTGAAAATCTTGTTGAGAAATTCTGACGTGTGAGAAAAGTCAAAATACCTGCCGTTTTTAAGATTAATATGCTTATTGAATAAATAAATTGGGAATTCATTTTAATTAGGAAATTCCTCTGCTGATAAAGTATAGAACTAAGTTACTCAGCTCAAATATATTTATTTATTGGCGCTAAAGCTAGAAATATAAAATTAACAAACTCAATTGGAACTACTGCTTTGCCTCGCCTTAAGGCTATTTTAAGATTATCTCTAACTTAATTTATCTGTATTCGATGTTTTCAGAAACAAAACTGAGGATGATGATTCCAGCACAATTACACCGGCGTTAATGGCGGCGGCGGCGGGGGCGGCACATATCAATGACATCGAAGGTAGTGAGAATATCAAAAGTGCTGCTACAATTAGCGGTACAAAACGCACAAATAGTTCCACATCGCTAGACGCCGCCAACGATGTGGGTTGCAATGCCACAGCTATGGCTAAGACAACGACTGGTAATGCTGTTGAGATTGCGCCAACAACAACATAAATGAAATTGTGCTGGCACATAAATACTGCAGACTACCTAGATACATAAATGCATACAGATATACAGATATATATGAAAGAGAAATGTAAATGCGCTTATGTATGTGCGGCATACGTATAAATACATACATATATACATATATACTTACATATACAAAATATAAATAGTATAGACATACATTTAGAAAAGAAAAGAAAGAAAAAAAAACAAAACAAACTAAACAAAAACGCTCAAAGACACGCAAATAAACTGCAAATCGATGAACTTTTCACGCGTCTAGCGCTAGACGCGTCACGCCAAAGGTTGAGGTACCGCCCATGTATAATCTTATAAAAAAACTATAACTAAAACAATCAAACATTCACACACATACATACATATAAACATACTCAAAAAAAAAATAAAAAATAAAATAAAACAAAATTAAAAAATGCACGCAAATGTACGGTATTACGTCTACATTGACGCTGCACACAGGTATTCTTAAAGCAAAATGCATAGTCACATACATTTAAATACACAAAATGAAAGAAAAAGTAAAAAAAAAACATTTAGCCATACGCCTATAATCTGGTATAGTAAGTAGTAGTGGAAAGTATAGTAGTAGCAGTAGTGGTATTGAATGCGTTGGATGCAACAACAACACCGTTAACTCACACCTGAACGCGCTCGTGCAAAATTTATGCAGAAAACATCTGAATAGCTTATGCTATGTTTCCACAACAACTCCCAAAACTTGCATACACTCACACATACACACACAAACACGAATACTCTCGTCTTACGCATTGCATTCGTTTGAAACGACAATTTGCGCTGATTTGTAAGCTTTTTTCTGCGTATTATGTGAAAAAATAAAAAATAAATAAAAATGTAATGATAATGTGTGGTGTAGTTGTTGGAATTGCCTGAAGAAATAATGCCGAACCTACGTGCCACCACATATCTAATGAAAAAATGCGTTCATTTGCTCAGCGTATTGTTAGATTTTGCCTTGTGGTTTATATTATTTCAATATTTTATGTTTTCTGCGTAGAAATAAGACTAACGAAAATCTGTATGTATGCGCAGTCAAGTAAAAATGGTAGGCGTGTGTGCAGTAGTGATATGTAAATGCTTATAAAAATTTGCATGTATGCTCAGAAATTTTTGTTTTTTTTTTTTGCACATAATATAAACTCAAATATGTATGTACGTTTCAGCAAAATTTTTTCCTTTATATGCGATTATAAACAAATTTTAAAAATATATTTGAAAATGGTTTAGTTATCAAATATTGGGCACCTGAAAAATACAAATGGTATTTTGAAATTATGTTAAAATTAGGAAAAAAAAAATTGGCCATTAAAATCTTATAGACTGGAGAGATTTTTTTCTTACTTAGAAAATAAAGATATTTTAAATGAAACAAAAAAAATTAAAATAAATCACTTGCGCATTTTTTTAATTAAAACAAATTTGTATAAGAGCTTCTCATATTCATACATACAAACTTGCATATGATTATTTCGTCCAATGCATTTTATAACTGCTGAATACGCGCCGACTATACTTGAAGTATGTAATTGTGTCGTAACTACTATTAGTAAAAATGCATTATTTCTATGTTAACACCAAGTTAAGAACAAAAGAAAAACAACTTACCCGCCCGATGTATGTACTATTAATTCAAAACAAAAAAAAATAATAATAATGAATTTTTAAGCGTAATAAAACAATAAGGACACAACGAACGGACTGCTCAAAACGTACAGACTTTAAATGAAATGAATGCATAAAAAATGCCAAACAGTAAGTGCTTGAAAAAATAATGAAAAATTAAAAAAAAAATATATATATATATATTTAGTAAAATAAATATAATTAATAATAAAATTAGTAATGAAAGACACACACACCAAACTATATCTACTTATACACACACAGATCAAATACCCTCGCTCTTTATGCCAATTATCTGTTCACGTTTTTTCGCCTATTTTATATTATCTACACTACAATATTTTAATTATACTATGCTTTTTATTGTAATACATATTTGCATACATACTTGCACTATTTACCATTTTAATTCTTTAAAGCAAATGAATAAGTGCAAAAAAAGTTGAAAAATTAAACTATATAAGAGAGCAATGGAAATAATTAAAATCGATTTTCAGAAAGCTCAACGCTATGTACTAAACAATTAATAAATAAAGATAAATATTAAAATAAAAATCGAAAACGAAGAATGTAAATCTTAAAACAACAACAATACGAATTACTTAAATGCCAAATTATGTATTTTAATTTTGCATAGAAATATTTAATAAGAATTTTTGTTGGTAAGCAGACTAAAAAAAAGCAGATATAAAAACGAACCGAAAATAAATGTATTAAAGTAAAACAACCTAAATAAAAAAAGTCAACTTAGTTAAAATATAAAATAAAATAAAAAGTAAAATGTAATGAAATAAAAAGTAAAATAATATGAAATAAAAAGTAAAATAATATGAAATAAAAAAAAAATGAAATTAAAAAAATGAAATAAAAAAATGAAATAAAAAAAAAGAAATAAAAAAATTAAATAAAAAAAAATGAAATAAAAAAATAAAATAAAAAAAAAATAAAATAAAAAAATAAAATAAGAAATAAAAAAATAAAATAAGAAATAAAAAAAATAAAAAAGAAATAAAAAAATAATTAAATAAAACATACAATTAAAGAAAATATAAAATAAAATGAAAAGTAAAATAAAATAAAAAGTAAAATATAATGAAATAAAAAGTATAATAAAATGAAATAAAAAAGAAAAATAATATGAAATAAAAAAAAATGAAATAAAATAAATAAAATAAAAAAAAATTAAATAAAGATAAGAAATAAACAAAAAAAAAAATGAAAAAAAACGAAATAAGAAATAAAACATAAAATTAAATTTAAAAATTATAAAATAAAATAAAAAATAAAATAAAATAAAAAATAAAATAAAATAAAAAATAATAAATAAACTAAAAAAAAATAAAATAAAATAAAAAATAATAAATAAACTAAAAAAAAAATAAAATAAAAAATATAATAAAAAAATATAATAAAAAAATTAAATGTAATTAAATCAAATGACCTCCAATTAAATAAAAAATAATCAAGCAAAATCAAATGAAATCAAATAAAATGAAATGAAATAAAATCAAATAAAATGAAATGAAATAAAATCAAATAAAATGAAATCAAAGAAAATCAAATATTCGTTGTAGTAAAAAGAAATCCATTATTTTTTCATTAGATGGCGTTATTTGTATCTGTTTCTCGCGTATAATTCCGAAAGATGATATTTCGTACTAAAAAAAAGCGTTCCTGACAATTTCGTGGTTAGTTGATTGAGTTTTATTTGGGCGTACGTCAAAGATGGACACTAGCAAAGAGAAAGTACGCTATATTTTACAGTTTTTTCTTTAAATAAAAAAACCGCTTGGAACCATTTGCATAAGGCTGGATACGAAAAAAAAATAAACCATTTAATTTTATGCAAAAATAATGGATTTTTCTATACTAAACATAATATAATCAAATAAAATGAAATCAAATGAAACAAAATAATTTTAAATGACTAAGAAAAAATTAAATATGAAAAAAGCAAAACAGTTAAGATAAAAAAATATAGAATGAATGAACTAAGTAAAATTTTTTTTAATAGTCACTTAAAAACCAAGAAGGTGGTGTACGCATAGCTTTTTGGCGTTTAACTTAATTATTATAATTATTTTGATATAGCAGCTATGTTTTCCGATTACTGTGCGTGAAATGATTGGTAGTATGCAGCAGCCATATGCGTTCCGCTATACTAACTTAAACACAATTTCATATCAAATTTTCAAAGAAATGAATTTAAACAAAAAAAAAATTAATAAGTAAATCAAATTTTCAGTACATATCCTGTGCAGTAATCGTAAGAACATGCACATCCCCTGTACTCAAACACAATTTTGTAAGCCATATCAATGTATTATATATATGTCATGCATACACACATATGTACATACAAATTTGTATAAATATATCTCCTGATGACTTTTTTCATTTCCATCAGCCGCTACGGCCTGCAAGCCTATTCCTATTAATTTTTTTTGTTTGTTTTGGCTTGCATTCTTTGCACAATTTTATTATATATGTAGATTAGATAGATTAACCCTTGGAAAAGCCAAAACAATATCTGCGTGCATTTTTACTATCGCCAAAAAAAGAAAAAAAAACGAACGAATGTTGAAACTTTTTTAAACGAAACTGAAATCATTTAAATGCTAATCAATTATTAAAAACGAGTATGTTTGTAAACGAAATAATGTTTGTCAAAAAGTACAAAATCACATTCAAATTCAATTTAAGTAATAATACAAATCAGTTAATACTATTATATAGAATTTATTTAAAATAAAAACAAACAAAAAATTACACATTAAAATACATAAATTATAAAATTTCATTTAAATTAAAAAAAAAACAAAAAACAAAAATAACAACCGAAAAGGCTCAATTGAAAGACCTTTTATTCAGAAGACATTTTTCTTTCGTTGTTTACCTTGCCCTTAAGTGCTAATGCTGGAGAAGATTTTTCGCTGGCAACTAAAATATAACTCTTTAAATTAAATTTACATACATGCATGTGTGTGCATAAATTCATGCAAGATATAGTACATACATGCACATGCACATATATTATTATGTACTTTATTAGAGTGCTTGTAAAATATATGTATTTTATTCTTTCTCATTTTTATTTTGTTTTAAACTTTAACTATGCTCTTCTCTAATTCCTGCTGTTAACGCAAAGTGTTCCAAATACATACATACAAAAAAAATATGTATTCTTCGTATATTATAAAATAGATACATTAACAAACATACATATGTACTATATAAATGCCATGATGCCCTTTATATGCAATGTGTTATACTCTTATACTCATTATATAACTATGTATTATACGTTCTGTATTCTATTAGAACAAGAAAAATAAACTATATTATACATTTATGCATTAAAAATGATGGCGCTTTTTTCCTCTCCAAAAGAAAAAAGCAGAAAACATCACAAAATAAATAAAAAAATCTAATATTTTATTGTCACAGTCGCTTTATACTTACTCACAATTGTAAATATTCGTTTTTCTTATTTTTTTTTAACTTTTGCTTGCAGTTTTTACATCAACTATTAAACTAAGAACTACAAATCGGTGCGCATAAGAACTTAATACATGCGGACAGTCAAAGTGTATTACTTACTTCACTATTACTTCCCTGTAACTTTGTCAGAATACATAATATACGAGTAAATGATAATTGGTCTGCTAAAGTATTTTGCATATTATGTGAGTGGAATGTATTCAATTGTTAGCTTTAATATTAGCGACTGTTAAAATGTATAAGCAAATAAATATAAATGAATCCTTGAGCTAAAGAGAATTTAAGTTTATATAACTGCATACATACATACAAATGTTAATAAAAAATGTATTCAAATTATAAGACACAATCCTAATAAGTTTGTAAAAAACAAATCAATCAAAAAGTTTGTAACATACAAAAAAAAGGAAAATTGTTTTATTTTCTTTCTTCTTTTTATTTATTATTTCTGCTCTTTTAGGGTATTCCAAATAGGTTTCGTCGAATTTTGTTTAAAATTAATTTTTTTGGAACTGTTTTTTTTTTAATTCATTATATTTTCCACGTTCTCGGAGCTTATAGTTTATATGAAGTTTATCTTTTAAGCAAAATTTAGGAAACAGAATTGATTGTTTAAAAATTTTCAGATAAAAGTGTATTATTAATAAAAAGAACTGAATCGCTTGACATATATTTGTTGCTAAAAAATTTGAACCTTGCCATTTTTCGGAAAAATTGAAGTTTAAGGTAAATTTGAAGAGAAAATTTCTTTTTCAATTAAAAAATTAATTTTTTTTTTATATTTTTTCCATATTCCATCTGAAAATCGTTAAACAGAATTTCAAATAGAGTATGAAAGCAATGTATTGTGTTTTTAATTGAAGTAAAAAATTCTTTTTATATATTTTTTTTTTGCTAAAAAGTATTGGTGAGAATAACTTTTTTAACATTTTTGTTAAAAGTTGTAATTTTCTCTGAAAGTAATTAAAAATTTAAATTTTTTGTATATTATTAAACACTTTTACCCTATTCCCTAGCTAGAAGATAGGCAAGCTAGAGATTTTATGCTTAGAAATAGGCACATAAAAGAGAGGAAGATGAAAATTTTTTTGCAGTCCAATGGTGATGGTAATTTAATGCTATCCACAAATTTGTAGTATGGACAAGTATGTAAAAAATAAAATATAAAATACTAGTAAAAGACTTTAATAACGACATAATCTCCATGCAGTCGCTTCAACATTTCGCTTCAACAACATTTGATTTTGATTTCTAAATTAATTCATTTTCAATTTTATTCAATTAAATTTATTGTACTTTTTATTTCTTTTAAAAAACTTATCTATTAAATCTGTGATATTAACTGAAGTTGCAGGGTAAATCATGAAAAAAATAAACCCAAGTAAAAAAATAAAAAAATATGTAAAATTAAAGTAAAACCAATGAGAATTCGAAAAGGAAAATATTTTGCAATACATACAAGTGCATTACAAACAAAAAAAATTAAATAAATATAATAAAAATCTGACTCACATACACACATACATACACCACACAAGCGCATATAAAGTAAATTATTATAACATACGTGTACACATAAATGAAAGCAACGCTGTCGAACTCACTAGATACCCACCCAAGAAAAGTAAGAACGGCACAGGCTGAACACACATATGTACATACTTGCATACATGTGAATGTACTAGATGTTATGAACTACATACCTTACTGTCTTCAATTCAAATTTAAACGTTATACCGCGCATCAACTACATACATGCGATAATGCAGGCAACAACTAACAGAAGTTATAGTTAAAATAATCTACCGATATGTACTCATGTAACCACTGTTTGTGATCACTTTCAAAGGGGGGGGGAAACGCCGAGTTACTAAAGTGACAACTAAAGAAACATTAACTACCGGAGGAACGTAAATGAATATATATATATATTGTATATATATATTCAAATGATTAATAAAAAGTTAAAAATAAAATTATGTAAACGCAGACAACGCATATGAAACAGGTTAGAATTTTAAAATACACTTAACTCACACACACACATACCATACATACTAAGTGAATTTGTAGGCATACAATCTTATGTTGATATATACATACATACATATATATGTATATGCATAAGTGTATTCATAGTTTGTACAATTATTAGTATGTATGTAAACAATATAAGCAATAAAAACTGCAATGCAATGAAAATATTAACGAAAAAATAACTCAAAATCGCACGATTGTTTCAAAAACTCTAATCTAAACTTAAAAATATACAACACATAAGCTCTAACTGTAAAAAAAATATGCACAAGTTTTTATTTAAAGAAATCAAAATAATATAAATTTAAACGTAAAGGAAATAACCAAAAATTAATAATTAAAAATTATTAATTAAAAAAATTAATAATGCAATATTTTTCAATATAACAAAAAGCGACTCTAAACTAATCAAGACTCCAATTTCAAATCAAATAATGAATTCTCAAACGAAGGTTTCCTTGAATTATGTCTTTTACATTATAAACATACTTTATAAAATGTGAATTCATGAAAAATATTGCAGAAATATGAAACACATACAGCTTATACATACATACAAACTGAACAACATATAAAATACAAAACATAAATACTTGGTAAATTTTATAAACAAAAAAGTTTTTTTTTTCCATGAATATGCCAAGTTACGGCCCGCTTTCGATTTTCGATTATGTTCGTTTTTTAGGGCTATATCCACTTTTTTTGTGAATTTAAGTAAATATATAAATATAAATAGAATAAATGCACATCTAGCAGTTTAAATATATTTTTAAATATCGCTGTAGTAGATCTCGATCCCATTCACAACAAGCACATTTGAGTACAGATCATGATCGATGGTTTTCAAAATTTTGATTTTGGATTAAATAGCGTTTTATTTTCAAAAGTTTTCACTTTAATTGTGTTTTAAAACATTAAACACTTTTGTCAGATAACTTATTTTTTCCATCATTACCTAACAAAGAATCTAAAGAGATCGTTGGAGAATTTCCAGCCGATCGATTAAGCCGTTTCGTTTTCCTTACCGACTTTGAAAAGTTGGCGTCGAGAAAAATGCTTTTAAAATTATCGGTTTCCGGTTTACTCTCCGGCTATTTTTAAAAAGTCGCAAGTCGTCTTTACATACAATAATTTTTCCAAACCTTTTTGTCCGATTAATGTAGAATTTTCAGACAATATTATTTACTCACCTCCGGAGTGAGAATTGTGATGTGCCTCGTCAATCAGAAAAAATCCAGCACTCATTGACGTACATATGCAAGGTGAATGATGGATAATCCTATATACATATGTATATTCTTATAAAATATGAAAAAAAAATCGAAAAAACGATCGAACCAATTTTTATTTGGTATTTTTACATTCGAACACGTTGAGTTAATTTCATTCTCGTTCGTTTGGATTATTTAGAATTATTTTTTAAGTGAATTAAAACAAAAAGAAAGGAATAGCTCAAACTAAAAAGTAAAGCTAACTATGAAAAATAAAAAAGGAAGGAACTTAAAGTTTGCTTCTATGTGCACGACTCGTTGGAACTACCCAGAAGCATAAAACGATTGAAGCGGGGGGCTTACAACATCTCTATCTCTTCGAATTTTCTCCGCCTGTACTTTGGAACAAATTCCTTTTGTTTCCTATTGCGGTACTCAATGAAAATCTCAACAAAAGGTCCATAATACGAGTTCGAAAATCTATTTTTGACTATCAACAGCAATCTTTTAATTGTGGAAATTAGTGACTGTAAGCGCTCAAGGAAATAATGAGCCAGTCGGAGAGCAAGCAGTTCTAAAACTTCAAGTGAAGAAGTTACAGAAAATTCTCCCAACGCCGGTTCGAACGGGTGGTTTGCAATACTGCAGGAAAAGTAGAAAGTTATAATATAAGAGTTATGCTGTTATGTACAACCAAAATATTTACTATAATTTTTTTATTTTTACAGATAATTGGCATACTACATTAAATCAGAGCGCACAATCTTTGGGTCTAAATTTTAAGTGTTTATTTTTATCAAATCAAAAATATCCAACTACACGCTATGTAAGTAGTTCACCACCATATCACAGTGTAGAGAGATGCAACGTAATTATACGTAGGTATCTTGCGAAACGCACATACGCCAAACCCAAGAAAAAGTCTTCCCCCATTGAGTTTCGATTTTTAAGCAAATTTCCAATTAAAAAGCTCATACACCTTCAGCCAATTTGTTATTATGTGGCAACTCTATACGTAGAAAATTCAAAAGAAATAATAAAATAAATAAAACTAAATACGTATAATATAAATGAAAACAGTAAAGAGTAAATTAAATAAAATTAAGTAAAAAGGAAAAAAAAAGTTTAGTTGAGTAAGAAAAAATTACAGCTTTAATTTAAGCACCGAATGATGAACAATTGAAGTCTTACTACATACATACATACAAATGTAATGTGTAGCGTATTAGGTATAATGGTAATTACATATATATAATTACACGTGTGTCTTGTAATTAATAAGCTCTTAAGTACACAAATACAGTGCTCCCTCCCTACACATAACCTTCCTTGGCAATAGTCAACGCACATTTGTGCTTTTTGTACAGTTGGCTGTCGTAATAATAAGCATATTTAACGTTAATTGAAAATTAAATAAAAACAAAACAAACAAAAAAACACATTTGGTAAGTAAGCAAAATTTAATGTGACGAGAAGAATCAAATTTGTAGTAATGAAAATTCATTTGCCTCTGATATTGGTTAGTAAAATTGTTGACAAAAAGAAATAAGTGTGTAATGAAGCAAAAATTCAAAAATTTAACATTAAAAAAAACATAAAAAACAGTTGTTAATAAAAAAGCAACAATAGTTATAATAAAATATTCAAACTTTACTAATGTTAAATTAAAAAAAAAAACAAAACTGAAACTAAAGGAAAACTAAAAATACTTAAGCTTTAAAATTATTTTCTAAGTCAAAAAAAAAAGACAATTTAGTTTAATTGAATTATTGTTCAATTGAAAGGCTTGAAATAATAAAAATAAATAATTTAAGGAATAAAAAATAATTAACCTGAAACGTCCAATTTGTTTGCATTGCATTGAAAATCGTAAGTGAGATTTAAAATAATAAATTCAAAATATTTTTTACAAAGTAATTTAAAGCAGTACATATATTCGTATGAGCACATATGTACGAGTATATGCTTAAATAAACGTTTAATAAAAATTGTGCATAAAAAACTGCAAGCATTTTTTGTTTTGTTTGAGTGTTTTCTGCACAAAAAGAGCATAAATCAACTATGCTAAAATTGTTGGCTTATAGTACATACATATGTACGAGTATAAGAAGTCAGTTTACGCATTGGCTAATATGGCGAATTTTATTTTTT